TTATAAATTAATGAACTTGTTGAGTTAGTCTTGACCTTTTAATTAAAATATATAATAATTTAATTTATTGAGTCAATCTTAATCCTTTAATTAAAGTAAATAATAATTTAATTATTATCTTTAATTGAATTAATTATCTTTAATCATAGTTGAAAGGGTATCTAGCTTATATGACCGAAAGGGTTCTCAATTTAATCATAGTTGAAAGGGTATCTAGCTTATATGACCGAAAGGGTTCTCAATTCCCTTTTCCTGTAGATAAGATCGTAGAGTCTTATCCAATAAAACTAAAATTGTTATTCTATAACATGTTTGTCCATGAGAGATCCTATAACGCTAAAATTGCTATCCTATAACGCGTTGCTATCCTCACTGCATGGACAACACCAAATTTGAATCCGATTCTTGAATTTATGATGAGTTTGGGACGTCTCTATTAGGCTGTGAGGTTATTTAATTTTGGTAATGACTTGATCGGCTATGACAACCTAGGCCTAGATGAAGGGTGTGAGGTTCGTGGTGATGTCTAGTAAGATCCAAAATAGAAGAGGATGAGATTCTTAACGTAGACAATGACTTTAAGGATCCTAGCCTTAAGGCCTATTATGATAAAATAACATCATGCCCTAAAACCATTTACATTGCGGAAAGTCCACCAATTATATCGAACCGAAGAAACGAGTATGAATTTGTACCCATTTGGCAGTTCTTTTCAATGGTCAAAAAGGCTCATTGAGGATCGAAACTATTTTTAAGTTTTTAAAGTTTGTTTTCAATAATATTTTATTGAAAATCAAATGATATTACGAGGCATATATAGTAAAATGATATATTTAATATTTTTTATTAAAATTATTTGTATCAATTTAATTATTAAATTTTATAATATTATCACAAAAAATTTGTATATAATCTTTTATACAGTTTAGATATTTATAGATATATAATTTAACAACAACTATTTATTTATGTTTTAAGCAACATATAAATACAATAAATTATTAATTATTATTCAAATTGTGTAAAATTTTATAGAGTTATTTTATTTTATAAAAATTTAAATTGAATGATTAGAATTAGCAAAATTTTATGATAAATTATTCAAGATGTCATTTTATTAAATTTGTTGTATCATTTGATCATAACTTTTTTTAATCAACAGGGAAAATTTTATATGTCCTGCATTTACGGGGGAAGTGAATTTTTAATTCTTTCCTTAACCAACAGGGAAAAAATTTGTGACATGACATTCTTGTTATTTAAATTTTGACACCAATCCTGTGATTCAAATTTTAGAACATTGTCTTATTTGAGGTTAGATTTTCATAATAAAAAAAGTTATTTCTTTTATAAAATAAGAATTTTTTCTTGGGTATTTTTATCTCTTAATTAAGATCACGAAGATGTACTCAAATTACAGCCCACAACAAATATAAACTTGACTGCAAATTTAATAAATTTTAAAAACTTATTTGTTTCATGGTTAAAATTTTAATCTCTGTATTTTAATAATCACAGAAAAATATAATTAAAGGTTGTACATATAATAAATTAAAAATGAATAAAACGATTTTGTAAAAATAAATAAATAAATGGATATATCTAATTGAAAGGATAACAAACGTCCAGGTTGTCCTTTGTCGTTAAATTAATGCGTCGTGTTTTCGACCTCCCATTACATGTGAATTCGGCCTAAAGGTGGCAACGCGGTGGGGCAACTACAAATGGAGGCTTTTGCCTTTTCTGTTATCGACTCTTCTTTTACAAATTTGCCCTTGAACTCGATTTTATTCTGGTCAAGAATAAAATTTTTAGCATATATATTTTTAAGTATTTTATATTTTTATTTAAATAAATCATATATTAAATTTTTTTATAACACAAAATATATATTAAAATTCCTTAAAATAAAAAAAAACTAAATCATATTATTAATATAAAAGTGCTTTGAATAACTTAATATTTAAGTATTTATTAAATAAGTTATTTTAAAATATGACTTGTGTCTTTAATTTAATAATAATTTTTATTGAAATAAATTAAAAATATTTTTTAAATTTATATTCAAATAAATTAATTTATAAGTTTTTCGAAACAATCCATAATTATATTTTCATCGTTATCAAGACACGGTCGATTTCGGAGGTGGAGTGTTTATACTCAATTTTATTCCTGTTACCATAAAAATATGATTTGGAATGAAAATATTTTAAGCTTATGATTAAAAATTAGCAGTCTATTTTTAAATTAGTTTGTATTTTATTATTTTATTCTTCATAATTAATTATTTTAAATACAAACTCATGTCTTACATATAAATTCACATTTTTTTAATAAATAATTTCACCTTTAAAACAATCATTTTATACAATCTAAACATAATAGATTATTTTAATTTTTTTCGTCTAACATATCTAAACACAAAATTTATTTCACATAAATAATTAAATATTTATAATGATAAAAAATATATAATTAATTATCAAAATAATATATTTTTAAACTGATCCAAACATACACTAACTTAAAAAATGGGACCGGTGAGGCTGCAAAGTTTGCAATCCTTACAAGTTGTAAATTTGGTAAAAGTTTTACCAACGTGAGTTTTTGAAATTACAAAGATTTGGATGATAAATAAATTTAAGAATCTTATTTGCAGTTCTTGTAAATTAAGGTGCTATACTCGTTTTAAAATCATTAAGATTGTGGATTGGTTAAAACTATAAAGAGAGGATAAAGATAACCAATAAATGTAGACCGCATTTAATTATTTGATAGAGTATATAATATAGAATAATAGGCATTGATTAGAGGAATAATTATTAAGACTAACAACTTTGTAAATTATTGTGTTTGTGTGTATATTTTATTCCAATTACAATTGTTAATTTTTAATAAAAAAAAAACGTAAAAATAGTCTAAGGATGTTGTTAATGAACTTTAAAAAACGTGAAAATGTAATAAATATATTTTTATCATTGTTTCCAATATACTCTTATTAAAATTGGAAATGAACCAAATTATAGATTTGGGTTAGATACAGGCAAGACTCCATTTAAGATTTAAAACGAGCCATTCTAAGGAATAGACGATCAGGCTTCGCGACTAGGAAAACTGGATTGTATGTGATGTGGAATATGAGGTAGACTGCTAGAACGCACGTAGAATAAAAGACGGGGCCAAATTATACATAGATAGAAGACAAGGGGTGACGAGAAAAGAATGTGATACTAAAAGCCAAAATTAGACATCGGGAGCAAATGAAAATACAGATTATAACTTTGTTGGTAACTGGCTTCAATGAATTCAACCCAACACAACAAAAAATAGGAATGAAGAGGCAGTTTAGTTTTAAATCATTTTATTATTTTATTTTAAATTACAAAATTGTTATTTGGTATTTTTTTTATAAAATAAATTATTTTCCTTGTTTCTTGTAACAATTTCATGAATGCTGTGACTTTAATATCACGCATGAATAGTATTTACAGACTGTATTGCAGAAGATGAAAGCACTATAAATGCCTTTTACTAACAAATAAAAAATATTAACCGTTAAAATAGTTTTTATTAGTATATTTTTTTGTTTGAAAAAATAGGTATATGTTTTAAAAATTTTATACCAATAATACGGTGTATTGTATCAATAAATAAGTTTGTGAGTAAAAGTATTATTATATATTATCAAAACATCAAATATTAGTATATAATATAAATTTTGAATTTTACATTAATAATTGTTTTGGTTAAAGAGACTATATTAATGGGACTATCTTAACATTTGATCATTTTTATTTGTTAGTAAGAAATTATTTTTTTAGTGCATAGGAAATAGGTAAATAATTAATTTATAAGGTAAAAAAATATTAATTACTCTAAATTTGTACTAATTAATATAAGGTATTAATTACGTTAACCATTTATTGTTTTTCACTTATCACTCAGACGTTAGCTCACCCATGGTAATTCGTAAATGAAAAACAATATTATTCAGATCTTGCAAAATGACTTTTAAAATCTATATATTCAATGTGTTCAGTCTATACCTGTCTCTACATCTCAAATAAACTAAAATATATAAAAATAATAATTTTAAATAAAAACAAAACAAATGAAAATGTTTTTATCGTGTAATAGACAACTTAAGCTATAGGCCCAAATTACAATAATACCAAATATTTAGTTATTAAATATATATTATTTTTCATATAGTTGCATATCTTTTCTTTAACACTTTGTAGTACACGGGTATGAGTTTAAATATCAATTTAAGACAACATTTTTAATTACTGTAATAAGTTTAATCAATAAATTTATTTAATTAATTTTAAAGGATTCATACAAAAAGTTATAAGTTATTGATTAAAAAATTGAATTTTTTTAACACATTATCAATACACTCTAAGTATATTTTCTAATAAATTTATTTTCTATATTAATTCATTATCAAAACTCTACGAATAATAGACTTACTGTTCACTTAAATTTAAAAAGAACACGCCTCACTTTGGATAAACATAACATGTTAGATTCTGGTAATATCTATCTTTATGGGTATAAAAGTAAAAATTTACTATTAAATCAAATTTTGTTAATTTCAAACTCAATAATTTTCTACTCATTTTTTATTTTCTGAATTAAAAATTTTTGAAGTTATAAAATATGAGATTATTCTTCTGAAAAAAAACTGATAAAATTTTAACTTTTAGTTAATATATTTTAAATAAATTTTTTAATTTTTAATAATTTTATAAAAAATAAAAAATTAAGAGTTTTAAAGAAAAACAACTAACGAAAATCAAATTTATTTTTTTTAAATTAAAAAACTCAATTACCTAAAAAGATTAAAAGATCAAAATTATATATATAAAAATGAGCAAAACATAGAAAAGAAAACACGTGAGGGAGACGTGCGTCCCCCGCTGAGGCGCAAATTTGTTTAAGCAAATCTTAAAAATTCGCTTATGCAAAATATATGTAAAAATGTTTTGTTGTTTTCTCCTTTAAGCTAGAGGGAATCCGTAACCTAAGCCATGCCATGTCCATGGCCATTACCCCCGTCTGCGTATAAATTTCATCTCCTTCCTTCCAGAAGCTTCTCTATTCCGTTAAGCCACGCTAACAGAACCAAACTTAAAATTCATTTTCACATTGCTGCCAGCGAAGCAGAGAGAGAAAAACTAGAGCCAGAAACAGAGACTAACAGAGAAAGAGAGAAATCGAACACCACACCATCGTCTTCATGGCAGTTAGGTTCCTCGAAATGGTGGATCCCTACGTTCTTGGATGGATCGTATGCTCTGTGCTTAGTCTCGTTGCGCTCCACAGTTTGGTTTTCGCACGGAGGAGCCGTTGCGCTTCATCTGAGGCCGCCGTTACGTGCGCCGATAACATAACCACCGCCGCCGGAGAATGCAGATCCTTGAACCGTGACGGAGACGTTGACGTCATCATTGTAGGAGCCGGTGTTGCTGGCTCCGCTCTCGCTCACACTCTCGGCAAGGTATTTTGATCTCTCTTCTTAGTATAAAGGTATTTGTATTTCGATTCAATGCTTATTTCTTCGTTCTTAACGCCTCATCCGAAACCAGATGAAAAGAGTGTTGTCGTTTCTTCGATGGTGAAGTGCGATTGGTTGACGATAACGGATATGCATTTTGATTTACTGTTTATTTGCGAGTAAGATTAATTTTCGCTTGTATGATTTCTTCGAGGCGAGGCCTATAGCGTTATAGAAAGAGGGATTATTTGAGCTATGACAATCATGCAGGCAAAGTGTTAATGTTTGTTGAAAGTTGTTCCAGGAGTGCTTATTGCTTTTCTTCTTCCGTTGAGATTTGAGAGAAAAATATTACGAATATTGATTTGCGTCATTGTTTCGGCAATGTGAATATTGCGTTTGATTCTGATTTTATTATTGTTAACCATGTGTGTTGAAGAAAATTACAATACTCTGTTTGCAGGTAATGGATCTTGCACGTATAGTGTGGATGTATAATACGCAGTTGAAAATGTTGACAGTAAAATATTTTGGCGTTTGATTTATTTATTTATTTTTCATCTAAGCAGCTGAAGATGTAATTTGTCTGATTCAGGATGAGCAAGATGTTACGTATCTTGTTCTTGAAGAAACTATTTAAGTACCGCAGTGAAGAACATAAGAGTTTTTGAAATTTCTTGTTGGCTTTACTGTACAGCACAACATCCCTGTTTCTAATCAAAACTAGCTGGCTTTTTGCATGAACAAACACTTCTATTTACAGTTATTTACCGACAGTCAAGCAATAAAGAGTTTGATTTGTACAGTTACTCTAACCTGCGTCCAATTTAAAAGCGAGAGCAGAAAATTTCACTTTTACTGATGGAGATCCTTTATATACAATTGACGATCCTGCTTATATTGCTTGATCGTTGGTTGTTAGTGTCTGCTATTACTCGATTTATTAATTTTGAAAGATGACCCCCTGTTTTCTTTCCTTTTTTCTTCGTTGCATGGCAATGGGAAACCGCGTCTTTGAACTTTACTTTAGGACATTAGGTTATGCGGTCCAGCTGTTCATCACCTTTCTCTCCCTTTTTTTTTCTAGTGTTTTTTGTGTTTTGTTGTTGATCAATTAGATTCGAGCTGATACATATTTGGGACTCTAATAAGTTTTGACTGCATAACTATTATCTAATGTAGGATGGACGTCGAGTTCTTGTAATCGAAAGAGATCTGAGTGAACCAGACCGAATTGTTGGAGAGTTGCTGCAACCTGGTGGCTATCTCAAATTAATTGAGCTGGGACTTGAAGGTAGTGCAAACTTAACTATGCGCGTACGGCATATAATATTTTGCACTTCTAGATTGTGGCTGATCGTGAGTGCCGGAAATACACAATTTTTTGTCTTTTTAACTCTGGTGAGGAAAATGGAGATTGGAGAATGATCATGGCTTGTCTATTATTGCAGATTGCGTAGAAAAAATTGATGCTCAGCAAGTGTTTGGTTATGCTCTTTTCAAGGATGGAAAACACACACGACTCTCCTATCCCTTGGATAAGTTTCACTCGGATGTAGCTGGAAGAAGCTTTCACAATGGGCGTTTTATTCAGAGGATGAGAGAGAAGGCTACCTCCCTTCCCAAGTATTGGTTTCTTCCTCCACATCACAGTCCTTTTTTGTCTTATATAACATTGACTTGCTACGGTGATGCACTTGCACTTGCCAACTATTCTATACAGAAGATTTTGATTTTTGAGAACCGCACCATTTGACCTCATATTTCAAAATTTTTTCTTGCCTGCCATTTAAGCTTTGGGTATATATTTAAAACCAAATTACTTTGGTTTGAAGTTATTTATGCTATTGGTTCTGCCTCCCTATTTCAGATCACATTGACTGCCATATGTAAAAATTTAGAAATGATGCTTAGGAATTTTAAGTATACCTACTATTCTAAACTTGAACTGAAGGTATTTTCTTGTTCACTCATATATTTATGTGTTTTTTCTTAATTTCTCTTATATTCTCTAGTGTACGATTGCAACAAGGAACTGTTACGTCCCTACTTGAAGACAAGGGGATAATTAAAGGTGTGCACTACAAAACGAAAGATAGTCAAGAATTATCAGCATGTGCACCTCTTACCATTGTTTGTGATGGTTGTTTCTCAAACTTACGCCGATCTCTTTGTAATCCTAAGGTGATAAAAATTTCAGCCTAAACAAGCTTAGATATGTGATTTAGTTTCCAGACTCAAATAAAATTGTTCGGTTTCTTTCTATGAAGTAACACACATCCATGCAATGAATTAACATATTGCTATTATTCATTTTGAGTTTTCTCCCCCTTCCGGTTAAATGTTCTTGTAAGTCATGCTTGTCAAAAAGAGTAGTCATCACTGGTATTTTGTAATGGATTATATGCAGGTAGATGTTCCCTCTTGTTTCGTTGGCTTAGTTTTGGAGAACTGTGAACTTCCTTGCGCAAATCATGGCCATGTCATACTGGGAGATCCTTCGCCAGTTCTGTTCTATCCTATAAGTAGTACAGAAATTCGCTGTCTGGTTGATGTTCCCGGTCAGAAGGTTCCATCTATTTCCAATGGTGAAATGGCAAATTATTTGAAGAGAGTTATAGCTCCACAGGTACTCAGTATATTCTAGAGGTTCTAAAAATTCTTTAACCTTCGACGAGAGCAGGATTTTATTTCACCTCGTTAATAATTATAGTCTTTCAGTTGATGATAAGTAGAAAATCAATGCAGGTTCCCCCTGAGCTTCACGAGGCTTTCATAGCTGCAGTGGACAAAGGCAATATCAGGACAATGCCAAATAGAAGCATGCCAGCGGCTCCTTATCCTACTCCCGGAGCCCTACTGATGGGAGATGCATTCAACATGCGCCATCCTCTAACAGGGGGTGGAATGACCGTGGCATTATCTGATATAGTGTTGCTGCGAAATCTTCTCAGGCCATTGCGTGACCTGAATGATGCATCCAGCCTTTGCAAATACCTTGAATCATTTTATACCTTGCGCAAGGTAATTGCGTTCTGACCAACCAACTTTTCTTCTGAACTGAAAAGACGAACAAACGTTCATGAAACCCAGTGGCTCTGCTTGTTACCTAAACTATCTTAAATCTTTCAATTTGTAGCCTGTGGCATCCACTATAAATACGTTGGCTGGAGCCCTTTACAAGGTCTTTTGCGCATCACCTGATCCTGCGAGGAAGGAAATGCGTCAAGCTTGCTTCGATTATCTTAGTCTTGGAGGTCTATTCTCAGAAGGGCCAGTCTCATTACTATCAGGATTAAACCCTCGGCCCTTGAGCCTGGTTCTCCATTTCTTTGCTGTTGCAATATATGGGGTTGGCCGTCTACTGCTACCGTTTCCTTCCCCTAAACGGATATGGACTGGACTTCGATTAATTTCTGTAAGTAGAAACATTTCGGATTATTGTTCATTTATTTGAATAATTACCCGGATAATCTTCGTTAATTCTATCTGAAAAATAAATTATCTTTTGTCAGAGTGCATCTGGAATCATCTTGCCCATAATTAAGGCTGAAGGAGTCCGTCAGATGTTCTTTCCTGCAACTGTTTCAGCTTACTATAGAAATCCTCCGGCTGCTTAAAAATTGAATATCAGTGAATACCTCTTCTCCACTCAAGGTGTTATCAAGATGAGCTTTTTTCATTCTTCAGAAATCTATAGGGTTCTATTAAGACATCTGTAAACATTATGGCTTTCGTGTGAATTCTTTGTAGAGTCAATTTTAAATTGCGTGTTAGATTTTATAGCTTTTCTTCAACTGTTTTTGTTCTTTTTCAATCCCTGGTTATTGATTGATTCAGGAGCGGATACTATTAGATCCAGAACGTGAATAATAAAAAGCGTACAGATCCGAGGATGGGAGATTTTAATACAAATAATTTCTAGTAGGATGAGATCTCATGCAGCTAACAATAGCAGGTTGCAATAGATATAATACAAGAATCATGCCCTTATGATGTCTGACACAACTTGTATTGAAGCATAAATGTAAGCTACAGAAAAAGTTGGTATTTGGTGATCCAATATATATTCTTATCCAATATAGTCCCGGATTAATTTTCGCAACCTAAGCTCCCACTTCTCTAAATTGATCATAGTTTTTCGCGATCAAATTTCACTTCAAATTTAGCTCATTGGGTACCAAATTGACGCACATTTTCGAAGAAAACGACATATATTAGTGACCCGTAATAATTAAGAGCCTAAATATGTGGGGCAACGTCGACCTTCGGAAAGCAATCGGGTCCTGCCTCTTTCTAAGGCTTCCACATACACAGACTTCTTTTGTCACCGGGCGTTCGACGCATGGTAACGAGTAATGACATTGACACTCGATGGAGTCATGCTGCCAACAATTAAATACTTGATTACCATATTTTCTTTGAACTATTCAAACGAGTTATGCAAATCTGTTAACAAATGTTACATTTTAATTACCGATGGGGGAAAAACAGAATTGAACATGCTATCATCAGTACAATCTTCCGTATAAAGCAAAAATTAAAACTATTTTAAGTCGCACGCACACCTATAATCCAGCTCCCTTCCTACAAAGGGCAGAAAAGTTTAAAAAAAAAAAAAAAAAAACCACCAAAAGAAACTTGTATAATTTTTCCTTTACTGCCATCAAAGATATTTTTCTGCCCTTACCAGACCTAATCTATATTAAGGAATCTAATTATATTAGTTACTTAACAGGAAAATGCCTTTTAAGATGCTACGACGTAGTTTGTCTAATTGATAATTAGTTTTAAAAAACAAACGATAAATAAGTCCAAACTAAAAAGTTAAAACGCCTTATATAAATGAACGTTCTACCCGTGGTAAAACCTGACCTTGTAGAAGCAGGATAATGAATGGGTCGTCAAACTAAGTTTAAGTGGTGTGACTGACATCATATGTAGTAATAATAGTGATTTACAAAGAAACTGCAAATAAAGTGTGCGGTAGATTTGATAGCGCATTTTTGTGTGAGAAAATAGTTTAGCTACTTTGAAGGATCAAAATTCCTTCATGTTTTAGCGCGAACATGTCCCTCATATACCTGTATTTTTGCATTAAGCAAAAAATTATTCACTCACTTAAGCAAAAATGCAAAAACACAGAACACAAGGATCATGTAACATGAAGAAATCCTCATGGTACTTTGAAGGGCTACAACTGTGTACAAGAAGTGAAGTATTGGGCAAACACAGCCCCCTGGAATCTACCGAGACCCAATTACGGGAGCTATAAACATCTATTGGGAATGCTAATTAATTAAGTACATAACCTTATACTTGATGAATTTCAAAATTAAAAAAAAGCCATAATCTAATTCTCTAATCATTGCAGAAAATTTACAGGTAGCACCACTATATTTTAGCTGGATGATAATTCAACGAGGTAATGAGGAACTTTATTAATTATTTGGAATACCTTGCATCTTTTCGGGTCCCAGGATAGTTGAGCAGATTTAGGCAATTATAGATTATGGTTCCTCCTTTCCTGTTTTATGGCCTCATAAGAAGTCAACACTTCTTTAAATTTTGCCTCCGCAGCCTCTGTAACATTTCCATACATATGGATCTGTGGTTAATAATATCATAGCTTAGACTACAAGATCTTTAGTGCTGATTATAAGTCAAGACTTACCTATATTATCTTGGTTCTGATCAGGATGATACTCCTTTGCCTTGGTCCTAAATGCTGTCTGCAAAGATGAGAGGATAATTTATAAATGAAATTAAGATATAACATCAAGGTAATGTAGATAACACAGAGGGCAATAAGCAACAGTAACAACAATGCCAAAATATTTAACAAAAATATGAGGACAGAAACACCACAGGAAATCAAATCAGGATTAATTCATGAAAACTATAGGAACTATAGGAATCAGGTAGAGCACCATGCTCTCTAGGGAGGCTAATAGTTGGACAAATGTACACATTATGGCAGGCCTATAATTTGTCATGAGCAACGAGCACAAATTCTATGTGAGACTGTGACATCATTGTATATGACTTCACTAATTTCCAACAGTGTAATAATTAAACAAGGTGTTGAAGAATGGTGCTCAAACCCAAAATATACTTGTAGTATCAATTAAGTGTCAATTCTAGTCATGTGTTACATACCATAGAAGCTGAAAGTAAAATAAGATGAAACACTTCTATTTTATCAAGATGGGTATGATGCATACAGTGATTCATGGATAAAATCTTGGTAAAACACTAACTGTAACATGCAAGGCATTAGGACAAAAAGAGAAGTTACCTTAATCTCAGCATCCGAATATTGTGCTTTTCTAAACCTGAGGTCCATAAAAAAAGGCTAACATTCAATATAATAATGAATGTAAAACAAGCATGCTAATTTCTTATGCAAATAGGACACTCATGCACAGGTCTTTTACGTATTTGGAAAATTACATTTACAATTCAAGTGAAAATATGGAATTCCATTGCAAATTGTTCTGCTCCTTCTCATCTAGGGTAGGTTCAGTTCTATCACAAGTTGCATGTTGCAACTACCAATAGATATAAAAAAATTACAAGCTAGAACTTGTTTAAATGTATAATCACAAACTTCTTAAAATGAGAAGGTTTGTTGAAAGCTCTGGATTCATTATATAAAATAGCCAATTATCCAAGATTTTTGTAAGTACCTGTCAAGACCCAAAACTGAGTAGTGATGTGATAAAGCGTAGTGTCCACTCTCTCTTGGAGTTTCTCGATAATTAGTCCTCCTGTCTCTGAAGGATGTATCAGCCTTCCAATACCAGTCCTCTCTCTGGAAATGCTGATGATATGCACCAGGGCCATTTTCCCTCCAGCTTTCATAGCTTCTTTTGTACTTATTCCTCTCTCTGTTAAACACACTTTGCATACGCCTTATTCGTTCCTACAAAAAGCAGATTGAGAATACCTAGTGGCTAGTGATGCTGAATGAAGAGGCATATTTAAGGATTATTGTGTTATTCATAGAGTTTAGAATGTCCTCTTAGGAAAGAGATCTTTCATTATTTTTTTGGGATTTGATCTTTAGTAAGTTATGTTTCTTAGGAAGATATTATCACGTATATTTTAGAAAATTATTGTCATCACCTTGGCTCAAGCTAAGGTGCCTACAATAACCATCCAATCCAACACTCATGCTAAGCTAAATTTGGCATTCTTTTTGGGCTACTATAAAGAATTAAGATTTTGTTTCTTCCAGCAAAGCACCTCTTCATCTCAAATTTCAAAAATACAATGCAAAGTTCGTAGTAGTAATACAAAAACAAGAGTAATAGTAATAACAGTAACACTAAATCAAGAAGAAAACAAGAAAAAAAGTACTACAGAGAGAATAAAGAAGCTCACCACTCTCTCCATCTCCTCCTCGTACTCCTCTTGCAATCGCTTATTGTGCCTCCTCCACGCCTCTTCCTGAAATGCCGTTCGGAAAGAACCATCACTCCCCCTTTTCCATGACGACTGCGTCTTCGATAGCTACAATAACATTTTCAAAACCACACACCGTCAATCTCTCCGTTCCAGCTCAACGATAATTGAGAATAGAAAAACCTAGACCCTTCAACTCTCATACTAATAACTACACCAGTAAATCATCCCAAAAACACAACACGGAAAGCATATATTCACAGAATGTAAGATAAAAACGTTTTTCTCCCGCATAAACCACAGACCATCGCTGTAGTATATTTCAATGCCGATAGTTTGTAACAAATTCGAAATCGAATACAGCATACCTGAACACAGAACCAATCAACGGTCCTCCGCAGCTGACCGACCTACAAATTCATAAGCAATTGCAATAATCTAAACGCTCCGAAAACACAAGATCCACCTCTCGATTCTTCTCAACCTAAACCTAAAATCGATTGAGATAAGAAAATCGACGGAAAGGAACGCGTAGAAGCTCACCGCTAAGGTAGTGGCAGCGGCGCCAATCAAACTGAAGAGGAAAACTCCCCAAAGCTTCGCGTCTTCGCCTTTATCTTTGTCCGCGTCATCCTTCATTTCTTCTCCCTCGTCAACAAAGATACCATTCAACAACTTCGATCACAGAAGATTCCACAACCCAAACACACACATCCTTTGCGGCACTTTTCCTTTCTTCGCCTTTATTCCCAACGCAATTTACAAACTCTTCTATTTTCTTTTGTTAATCGCTATAAATAAATTATTGACAACTTAATATCTTCCGTGCTGTTGGTTAGTAACGAGCCGTAGAAAAATAAACAATTTTGTATTGGGCCGAAGTAATAGAAGGAATGAAAGAAAGTGGGCCCGTGAGAAGCCCATTATGAACCCATCAGTTGAAACCAACCAACCGACACTACGTGCGTTCTATAGTTTAGTTGGTAAAGCATAGCAACAGGAACATTAGTTACATTCCCACGAACAAAGTCTCTGTTTCTCTGTCTATGTTTCTATATCCATGCGCGTTGTGGAGGACAGACAAAATGCACAAACTTCAGATCTAGCCTCTGACATCAATTGTATAGACCAAGTTCTATAACACTGTTCACTGGTAAGCACTAAGCAGAGAACATTGTACGGATCCGCGTCCGGAACGAGTGCAACAATATGGAATAATTGGCTTCCTATGTATTTGGCGCAACCATTAATATTTTTCTATACTTTCTTTTTTCCGTTCTTTAGATATAGCTGCCACGCTTTCAATGGGTGTGTGAATTGTATCTGTGCGATATTGTGGTAACGAATAAAGCTTGCTATTGCCGTGTCTTATTGATCCATTTATTGATATGTTCATGATGACTTAAACTGCAGAATAATACTACATAACATCGTTGTGGTGATAGACAATTAAATCGAGAAGAGATGTCGCGGAGACCGGTGAATACGTCTCGGCGATTCGGAGACAACGGAGGTGGATTGTTTTCATCTTCGAAATCGAGGTCGTCACCAGTTTTGTCGGTTGGGCTCATAATCGTGGTAATGTATAGATTAACGCATGGAGCTTAATTGTCAAATACTATGTTTTTATGTGGAGCATATTCTAATCACTTTTAACTTTTATAGGGTGGCCTGTTTCTCATTGCCTATATGTACAAGGGCTCAGGTTTGTCTCAAATTGTTTCTCACTTTAATTCGGATGTTATTTTCCCTTTATTATCCCGCCTTACCTACTTTGATCTGTTGCTTGTTATTTTGTGGATTTGTTACTATTTTACATGCCTGGATTTATTTTTCCTCTCTGGTGTTTTTTATAGGCGGATTTGGCAGCCATTTAGAGTCTGTGAGCAGGGTTGAAGGTAATTTTGTTTTTCTTTCGTCGGAGTCTTAGATGTCATTTGCTTCATTCTACTTTTTAAGCAATTAATTAAAAATAAAACGAGGGTATTTTATTTGGTATTACATTAATTGTGCCACATTTTTCTTATTTGATCATTACATTTATGGAAAACTGCATATTTTTATTTTCCTAATTATGGAATCCTTAAGGTTACTTTCTGTTTGTGAGTGACCATCCAGGTTTATGTCGTCTTGAAAAAATCCAATTCCTTTCTCTAAAATGTTTTCACTGTCATTTTCATAAAATTATCTTTTTGGGAAATGCACTATGCTTTGAAGTGCGTGGCTGAAATGAAAGTAAAAGAACAATCCTGGTTTGTTCTTTTGGCTATTAGCGTTTTCTAGTTAGTTATTTTATCTTTTCTTGTTTCCGGATGGCAATATCCTGCCCTGGGTTATGTAGTCGTTATTATCTTTGATTCTTTGTAGTTGTAACTAAAACAATTCTAGTTGGTTTTGTACTGGCTGTGCACGATGGTTATAGTGACCATCTCTGACTTGTGCAAATAGGATAAAAGATCGTGCTTCAGTTACTGACCTTGTTGGTATTTTATGTGAAATGAGTGCAATATATGTTTGTCCTACTGTGCCGTTCACTGGGTTGTTTCTGTGATTTGCGTTCTACTTCTTGTCTTTTCAGCAGCCTGGTTTTATGCTAATGGCATTGTTCTGTAAAGAATAACCAGGTTTAAACTGAATAATTTTAATGGTAATTTACCAGTTGAGATTACTTCAGTAATGCTTACTACCTTCTAGGGTACATTTGCAAAATATCAAGAAATTGTGATTATACGGTTGAGTTTTCTGTAATTGTTTAAGAAATTGGTGGTCTGGCTCTAACGTAAAATAACTTTATGGCATTCTATATGATACTTGGCATTTGTTTGGCTTCCGAATGTATTGTAATTGATGTGCAGAATTTCCAAATGCAGGTGATTATTTGTGTACTGGAGAGGTCCAACGTGCAATTCCCATTTTGCAGAAAGCATATGGTGATAGCTTACATAAAGTTTTGCATGTTGGTCCCGATAGTTGCTATGTGGTCTCTAAATTGCTGAAGGAGGAGGAAACAGAAGCCTGGGGTGTAGAACCATATGATATAGAGGATGTTGATGGTAATTGCAAAGCACTTATCCGCAAAGGCATTGTGCGTATGGCTGATATCAAGTTTCCTCTTCCATACAGGCCAAAATCATTCTCACTTGTAATTGTGTCGGATGCGCTTGATTACTTATCTCCCAGATACCTTAACAAAACTCTTCCAGATTTGGCAAGGGTATCATCTGATGGAATAGTGATATTTACTGGTATGTGCGCTTAAATTAGTATCCAATCTCATATATCGATAAAAAAAAATTTCAGACGAAGGGAATTCCTGTTATCTAGCATTAATTAACGTTGATGTAGCTTTGTTAGATTTACAGATCCATAATATGAGGAAATGAAAGTAGGATATATGTTTCCCGAATTACTTTGTTGTTTCACAAGCTATATAGGAATTAACTTTTCCAAATGTTGAACAGACTCAATAGAGAGTAGAGTCTGGCATCCAGTATAATGTTTGTTAATAAAGCAGAAGTGGTGCGTTTTAGCTTATGTGAACCATTCATTCATATTGAACACATTGATCCATGGCTTACTTTGGTTGAAATTTTGGTATTACCAATGGGCGGTGGTTTCAGGAAATGTTTTCTATTTTCATTTTTTATTTTCACTTGTATTCACAAAACTGTCACTTTATTTTCATTTTGTTTCTTGTTTTCAAAGATTCAAACAAAAATAACAAAAACATTTCCTAAAAACAAACAGCCCCTAAGATGTTGAGGTTTTTGTGCACGGTTCATGCTGGCAGGTTGAAATTATGAATGAATTTTTTAGCAGCAATCAATAATCTCTTGGAACCTTTCTCTGGCATATTGGCGTCTGATAATTATATCTATAAATGTAGGTTTTCCAGATAATCAGAAGGTTAAGGTTGCTGATGTTTCTAAATTTGGAAGAGCGGTTAGTATATTTACATATAGTGATTAAACTATTACTATTGTCATTGCTTCATTATCAATTACTGATCTTGGATGAATATTTAGAATGTCCAGGATCTTAGATCCTCAACCTTTCCGAAATCAAAGGAGATAAACATAAACAACATGGAGAAAATAATTATAATTGATTTATCTTGTTTCAGGCTAAGATGAGGAGCTCATCCTGGTGGCTTCGGTATTTCCTTCAGATTAACTTAGAGGAGAACGAAGCTGCTTCCAAGAAGTTTGCACAGGCTTCGACTAAGAGTTCATACACTCCAAGATGCCAGGTATTCCACTTGAAGTCTCTCAATTGACTTCTCAAATGATTCTCAAATGATTGCATTTGTAGCATTGAAGCTCCCAAGGATTGCTTTACGTTTTCATCTAAAACAGTTTCTTTTATAAAAGGTAATTTAATTCATCAAAGTTTATTCTCAATAGATGGTGTATCTGTAATAGATTTATATTCTTTGAAATACTAGCCTCTGGCGATAAAGGATAAATGAGTTTAGTTAAATTAATTTATTAGTTGAATATGTGATCTTAAGTGCAGTGGCAATGGTGTACTTAAACTCCTTTTTCCATGAGATATAAATTGAATCTTATTACATTTGCTGAAATAATCTGGCAAAATGATGATTGACTACATTCGTTTTTACTATAGCTTACATCTTATCCCTAAATCATTGTTGATACAATGAGGAATAGTCACATTTTCGTCCTAAATTCTAGATTGGGCCAGAAACTAAAAAGAAATTGTTTCTCTTGCTTATTTTTCACTCTTTGCTCCGGGCAATAGTCTGTATTCTCGTAATGAAAACATGCGATCTCCTTTCCTTTCTCAATCCTTGTGTATCACTCGCAATTTTCTAGATCCAAAGACACGAATGGTTCTTAATTTTTTTGAGTTGACAATTTTCTGGCTGGATATGATAAATGTTGAATAATTGGATTGTTTATCAAGCGGTAACGATTCTGTTTATTACTATTTTTATTATTATTTGCAATGTTTTCTTTTTCGTTTTAGAAAAATATTTGTATACGATTTTTATGAATTATAGATTATATATTTTTTCACTTTGTTTTATATTTTTAAAGATACGTACAAAAATTATTACGTTGTTTTCCATTTGTTTTCTATTATAGTTTATTGATAACTGTGTTTTTATCGTCAAAAAATAGTTTGTATATGAAAAAAATTGGCACTTTTTTTAAAAACTTTTTTTTACGCGTATTTCTATATCCATGTATTATGGTGCTCAAATATAGTTTTACGCCTGCTGCGGAGATAGTGGTATTAGTTATTTTACATAGCTGAGGGTGATTAGTTTTCCAAGTAATATTTCACGAATTTTGCTAAACAGTACGGATACAAATTGGTACTTACATTTTATTGGTTAATTGTAAGCATTTTTCATTTTCATGATTTTCGATATTTCGCTCACCGAAGTCTAACCACATCAACTTATGCTCAATTCCTGTAAATTTTTTAAATGAATAGCATTCCTCATTTTTCATATATGTTTTCTCATAAGAAATGATTTTATTTAATTTAGGTGTATTTGTAATATAATAGAGCCAAACTTCTCTGCAGATATATATATATAATAGGTCTAAGAAAAATTAAATATGCATCACTTAAATCAGCCACCTTTTATTTTTATTAGTTATGTATGATATTTTACTTATAGAAAAAGTTGAGGAGAGAGAAGAATAAAGGGCAGAAATTAGTTGATAAAGAGAAGTGTAAGTATTTCATTGGAATTTAAATTACCTATGATATTTTTTTTTTTAGACTTAGTTAATTAGGAAAAATATTGTGTTGTAGTCCAACAGTGTTAAATAAAAAAAGTGTACAAAAAATTAAAAAAGTAAATTAAACATGCTCTAAATGCAAATAAAATTGTATTTTTTTTAACTTATAATGCAGCTGCATTAAAAATAAGAATGTATTTATTATCCTAATAATTTTAATTGATTCAAATTAATTCAATACTTATAAATTACAAAACAGTAATGGACTTTTTAAAGATCAAATTATTCACCGTTTAATTGTGTCAGGAGTTTGAATTCTAAAATCAATTTTTTTATGAAAGACTACTAAGCTATCATTCTGGATTCAAAAAAGTCGGTTTCATAATTATTTTTGTGAAACTATCTAGTTAAACAAGAATAAAATTATCTCCTGATCTACCTTCGTGTATCCAATGTAATTAAGATACTTACTACTCTTCTCTTAACATACGTTGGAGTAGACAACATAAAGTAAATGAAGGATAAGTGGGAAATGGGAATAGTGTTTTGACTTATTTTTAAGATAAACTTGAACACTGATTTATTTAATAAATAATATTTATGCTATAACGATTTTGATCATTTATATGTTGTATACGTAGAAGAATTTAACTTCGGTTTATTATGGATGGAGAACTTCTTTTTTTAACTGTGATATATTTAATTAACAGTGTTAAAGTAGTTTAATAAATACTCAATAAATTTCATCTCAGAATATAATTATTAAATATTTTAAAAATAATTACAACATAAAATCTCACACATAACGTGATAGTTTAATAATGAATGATAACGGCTTGCGTGGTTATCCTGTTCTGAATAAAATTTCTTACTCGGAAAAGAAGAAGAAGTATTGCAAGTAAGAATATGCGTTAAGTTTTTTTTTTTTTTTTTGCATGAAAATATGTTAAAAAAAATAATTATGTACATTTATCATAAAAACTAAATAATATGAGTTTTGCTAGGAAGAAAAAGAGAAACTAAACCAGTATGTTTCATCTCCTCGTCGAGTGTTAAATATATTTGTTTTTATCTTAAACTCTTAATATTAAAATAAAATATTGAATTTCAATGAATTTAAAATAAGTTGGATAATTTTTATTTAAAAAGATAAAACTCTCTTAACGCCGACATTTAAAGTCACGTATTATAATGGGAAAAATTTATAATAGGGGGCATTGAATTAATCAATGTATTTTATTTTTTGTAAATAGCGTATTCTTTTATCATTATTACAAGGTTATCGTCTTATAGTGCGGCCATTAGCACATTATTACTGGCATTGAACAGTGTTGCGGGGTTGCAACCGAACAATGAAGCAATTTTGAATTATTGTAAGCATTTTTGTGGTAAATAATTGGTTCCTGATGACTCAAAAATGGAAGTGTCTTTCCACTGTTTCTCACATTAAGTTAAATTTGTCTCCTCTTGTTGCTCAATCTATATTTTCTATACTCCTCAATCCCCACCCATTGCCACCACCGAAAAAAAAAAAACACGATGAATATTAATTTTTTGCTCTTTAATGTTAAATAAATAATGAGTGCCAGTCAATCGTTATAATTAAGTACTGAACCAAGCTAATGAGTATTGTAAATATACTAATTAAAAATTATTAAAAAATCTTTTAAAAATACATTAAAAATTACAATCAATATATGAGTAATATTTCGTTAATTTATAGGTATTCTCACATCGGCATTTAATTATTATTGGGCCTATAAAAAAATCTAATTGACAACTTTTGGAATTCGTTAATCGTAATTTTCACCGTAATGTAAATAGTATTGCATTTTGTATTATAATGAGCAAAAGAAATATGTATCATTTTATGTTATAAAGTATTTTTAATGTATTGCTAATATAATAATATTTCAATATTAAATGATACAGAATAAAATTTTATATGTAATATTTTTATTAAAATTATAAGATATTATAAGATTTAATGTTCTAATAGAATTAAATACTACGATTTTTATTACTTTACATATAGTTAATTAAACTATGCCAAATTACTTTTTTACATTATTATTTAATTTAATTTAATTTAATTCATGAATACTTCGTGAACAACTATAGTAAAATAAGATTAAAATTTGAGAATAATTAATATTTAATAAGTATTTAAATTTGTAAAAAAATTTGCTGTTAAAGATGAAAATAGGTTAAACTTTGTATAAATAAATCTGACCTGTATAATAATTTTAAAGCTTAAAACTATCCTATTACCTGTCATAAACTTTTTATTAAGTTTAACTTGACGTTTTTAAAAATTTGATTTAATCTATTAGCTTTTTTAACGACTTACTTCGTATTAAGAATTTAATAAGTCATTAAATTTTTTTGTAATTAAGCTATTTAGATATCTTTTTAAAATTCATAAGACTTATATCTAATAAACTATTAGATAACATGTAATAGAAACTTTTTTTAACTCTAATAAAAAAATTTAAAGTTTTTAATTTAAGATTTTATTATTTTAAAATTTAATTAATTTAATATATTATTATATTATAATTTTTATATAAAAATATTTAATATATTATTATAAATTTTAAATAGATCATTCTTATATGTCTAATAGATTTTAAAAAAAAATTAACTTATTAAATATTTTTTAACTGATAAAACAAACTTTTAATCTATTTAAAATATCTTGTGAAACACGCCCAAAAAGCAGGAGATATGTATATACATTATAAGATTTATTTTTATCACTTGTTAATTTTAAAACACACAAATATAAAGACTCGAAAGGCTAAATTAACACGTGTTAATCTGTGAATTTTTATTTATTTTTTAGTCTTTTAAATATAAAATTTGGGGTTTGGTTTGGAAATCTAAGTGGGAAGAAAAAACATTGGTACTGATAGAGACTTTCCTGTTGAGCTTGCGACTATGACTTCATATATGCTAATGCTGCTACTGCAACTACCATCTCTAGCCACGTGATTTAGAGGAAAGACCATGTGTGGCATTTGCATGACGTACCACTTATTATATTCAGACTTTACAGTTTCCACACACTCAGCGAGCCTTCTACTGTTAATATGAGGGTTCCCACTTCCTCGTCCCCCACCCTTTGCCTCCAATATTGGAGACATTCTTCGGTAAATATATGAGTAGTTCATCCATATTGAGTTTTAAGTCTTTCAGTGTCATTATCTTTTAATATAAAATAAACTAATTTTTATACGTATGTTCTTAAATTATGAGAAGTGTGTTTATATTTTTAAAACTATTCCGATCAATATCTAAAGATATAATAAATTTTTAAAAGATATATCTATATAACTCTAAAATGTTTATAATTTGTTTTATTAATAAAATCTAAAGTAGAAACGTGTATACAAAATATTTTTATTTTAAGCATTAAAATGACGTATTAATTTGATGTTGATAAAATAAACACATTTCAATTAAATTAATTTTAAATATATTTTTAAATTTTTTAAAATTTTCTTACCTATATCATAATTATTTTCTATAAAAAAAGTCTTATTTAAGATGGATAGAACATTGCTTCTGTCGATTAAATTAATTTATGAATTTGATGTTCTTTTAAACACTCTATTTAATATATATATATATATATATATATATAAAAGTAATTATTCATCTTACATAAACTAACTAAAACACCTGATTAATAATACTTTGATAAATATAAATTAGACAAAATTAACACAATTTGAAAGATATTTTGTGGGAAGATTTTTTTCCCATGCCCTTTTCGTCACACAGTCATGAGGCTGATTCTTTTGTCCAAAGTAACATTATGTTCCTTTTTATATTAAAAAAAAAGTAACTAAATGACACATGTAAAAAAGTTACTAGAATTAGAAAATATATTAATTTTTGAAAATTAATTACAACAATTCATTTTTATACCTTTATAAAGTCAATATTTATTATCACGTTAATTAGTGATAAGCTAAAAGATTTAATATTTGTGAAGGTTAAGTATGAGAAAAATGATAATTGTTTTTTAAAAGTTATAGAAAAGTATTAATTAAAAGATCACAGCACTTTAAAAAGGTTCTATTAAAAGACCTTAAAGAAAAAAAAATTCAAACCTTATTGTAGTTAAATTTTGATTGAAGTCACAATTTACTTTGAACAGTGGCAAGTCTTTCTTTTATCATATTAAAATTATTCATTCAACAGTTATAAGTTGATTAAAGAACCTATTTGAATACACTGACTAATTAAAGTGTAAATAACATAATATTTTGGCTAGAATAAAAATAGTCAAAGTGAAATCAATTCCATTTAAGAGTTCACTTTTTTAATGGAAATACAATAAATTCACTTGATTCACCATTTTTGTTGCATTTTATTTTAAAAAAGTGGTATGTATCATTTTTAAAATTAAAATTAAAATTTATTTAAGTTAAATATTATATACTATCCATACTTTTAATTATTTTTAATTTATACTTCTTAACATTATTTGAATTAGTTATTTTTTAAAAGTAGGAAAGTTGATAGTATACATGAAATAGTATATTTATATGTTAAAATAAAAAGTCAATAGTTTGCAGATGGAATACAAGTGGCACAAGGACCGAAGCCGTAGAAGAGGGACCAGAGTGGCATAAATTCTTATATCAAAATGTATAAAATAAATGAATGATGCAGCTTGAAAGTCCATTCAAGATATGCAAACTGCAATCATTGCTAAATTTTTCCTGAAAGATGAAAAGCTGTGATCCCTGTTGTCTTCAAAGGCTGCGAATTCATTATTTATTTAAGAAAAAATAAAAAAGAGAAGAAAAGAACCAGCAGTTCAACAACCTGCATTCTCCTCCTATCTTATCATGTCGGAATCTTGGTTCCTCCATGTCACCGGTGATTCTGCACAAAATTTACACCCAGTAATTAAATGCTATAACCCGTAGACTTTTATCTTAACTAACATACAATATTTGAAAACTATTTTAACAAGTAGATTATTATTTTATGTTTAATGTACCAACCTTTCAATTATCAATTTGTTTTGCTATTTTTTCACTAACCCGTTGTCTTCACATAACTCAAGTAGTCATAACAATGAATTATTATAACAACAAATATTTTTCGGTCATATTTGTATATTGGTGTCAGGTATGATTTGTAACAATTGCTTATTTAATAAAATAAATGTATGTTGAAATACTTGTTACATGACAACGTTAAATTAAAAAATTATTAATTAATTTCATACTAAATTAACAAAGTTACTAATTTTTTTTATAAACTGAATTAGCTAAGGACTAAATATACTGATTAGGATAAAAAATTATCACGTGTCTAACACATGATAATGCTTAATTTTTGTTTCTTAACTGATAAACACAAACAATAAAGAATAACTTCTTATTAATTTATTTTTAATAAAGTATTTGTTACAAAGATTAAAAACTTATTTCAGTATAAAATTTTTTGAATTGAATAAATTCGTACTCAGAGTCGACAGGTATTATTATTTAATTGAGCAACGTATATGAATGATCTACAGCTCATAAGTCACGCCCCCAATTTGTGGGTGTAGGATATCGACTCTTAAGAGTGCTCTCTCTGTTGCCTTTTAATTGGTTTTGGACTTTTTGTGAAATCGTTAGGGTAGACACACTCACATCGTCTCAAGTCAATTTATTTTTCATTTAAACTACTTATATTTTGACCCAATGAAATCGCTTATACCTTTTTCAATAAGTAGTCTTACTTACAAATAACAAAACTCTTGCTTCAACTAAATTATACTGTATATGACTTTAATGCAAAAAGTATTAAGTTAAATACTTTTGTACAAATTAATTTTTGTATTCAATGACTTAAATTTAAATAATTTAAACCTAATCATTGTAGTATTAATTAACAAATTAATATTTGTTAATAAATTTTTAACAATAGTGTATTACTAATACTTTTTACTTTATGAATTTTAATTTTTATCTAATTTCTATTTATCTTATTAAATACAATATATTTAATCCTTTTTTATTCTACATATATAATTACACCAATGTAATTTTATATATTTTAATAATTATTTAAATAATTTAATCCTTAAAATAATTTTGTTCATAACTTTATTTACTTAAAAATTTGCTACTTTTATTGATTTATTTCTCTACCTTGATTTTTAAAATATTTTAATTCCATCATATTAGCATATTTGATATAGTTAATCTAAAAAAGTAGAAAAAATTACAGCAAAATGTAAAATAATAAATATGATAGAATTGATGATGAAAGATAATCTTGAAAAAATACTAACTGTTTTATAAATTTTGTAAAATGGCTTATATAAAAATTACCAATTTAAATTAGGAATCATTAAAAACATTAATAAAAAAGACGAGAGAGTACTTTTGAACAAGATGAAAAAGGGGTTGTCTTTCCAAGACTTACACGAAAATAGATAAGTTGAAGGGAGTATATCATGGGCGTTATTGAAACTGGTGCTACTTTTCGCTTGAGAACAAATCATATTAATTCTCTTTCACATATATGTAAACAAATATTAATAATTACACGACTATAAATGATTTTTTTAAAGTAAGCGAATCTCTTTTTATGTATAATAATAATAATAATAATAATAATAATAAATACAAATATTAATAAATTAATATTGTTATAGAACAAAATATTATGAAAATAAATTGAGTAAATATCATTAGAACATTAAAAAAAAAATTTGAAAGATATTATAGTTTATAAATATGAGAAAAATAGTTTTAATGGATATATTATTATTTTTTTTTTCTTCACTTGACATCAATGTATGTAATAGAATAACGATCAGGCTTGCTTTTAAATCAGTGCGTTTTCGGTCAATTAATATTTGTTGGGAATATAGAAAAATATAACTATAGAAGTAAAAATTTTAATGATTAAAAAAATTGAAAATTCAATAAAAATTTCAATTATATAAACAAAAATTAAATAAAAAATAATAAGTAATAAAATTAAATAAATTTTAAAAATGCCATATAACATTTATGATAAAAAGAAACAATATTATATACAGCGATTGCAATGACACTTTATTTATGTCAACTTAATTTTATTTTAAGTATGAGAAAAAAGTATTTAATGATTTTGTTAATCATTGCGAATCTTGTATTTAGTTAAAAGGTAAAATTATATTCATAATTTTTAAATTTCAATAAAATTTTGTTTAATATTTTTTATATTATTTTGTTTTTCCTTGATTTAAATAACTTCATAAAAAAAGAAAATTATTTATGTAAATAAAAACGATACACGTTACGCTGTTATGTTAAATTATTTTTTTGAAAGGAAAAATATAAAATATTCTTAATAAATTTAAAAGATGTGAGTATAATTTGTCTTTAATTAAAAAAGATTTGATTAATTCATGATGGAATTGTTTTTTGAATTTTTATTTTCAAAACTTTAAATTTATGAATTAATTTAAATAGATCATCAGTGTAAAACTCATAAATTGAGAATTTTTAATTTTTGTAATAATTAATACAAAAATTATATCAATAGTATATTCTAATTAATTAATAATTTAAAAATTTTAAATTAAAAATATAATAAAATTAAATTCATGACTTAAACAACTATTTCTTAAAATTTAACGACAATAAATATACAATCTCAACTCTTAGAATGTCGAAAATTAATTTAAGAATTTTTTATTATTTAAATTAAAAATTTAATATACATAATCGTGATAATAATAACATCATAAAAATAGTTAAATTACTAAAAAAATAACATTTTCTCCCGTGTATGCATAATCATAAGTACATATATAATTATAGATGTTGTATGAAAATTCTAGACGTCTTGGGTTATCCCTTCATTGGAAGACATTATAGTTGGCATTTACGGAGGTGATGTTAACTTGTCTCACAGTGTTTTTGTTTTTGGGTAAGAAATGAATTATTGAAGTGAATGATTCTTCTAAGACAATGGGGTTGAAGAAGGCAAGCCCCAAATAAGCAAGTTTGTTGCACTCACAGTCGGTCGTTGTAATTGTGATAGAACAAGTGACAGAAAGAATGGCCGACATGGATTTGAGGGATAGGAACTGAGTAGGGTCAAGTCTCACTCTAATGTGCACATTTGCATTTTTCATAAACTCTGTATTTCAACACGCACCTGCCAAGAGAGTTCCTCTCCAAATAGGGTCCTCTATTAAAACCACGACATTTGGCAAACAGTAAAACTACTGCATGTTTTGTTACTCTTGCAGCGAGCATGCTCAGGGCCCCAACATACATGGGGTCAGTATGTGTGCACTCTTCATTATTTTAATTCTCTCAATATTAATTCAAATTTCTATCACCAAAAAGTAATAATAAGACTTTTTTCTCTCTCTTTTATTCATTTAATATACAATGCATTGCATTACTGTTTTTTTTTATTTAATATACTATTTGTCAATTTCTGGTTGTGTACCATAGTCACATAAAAAAATTTGTGCATTTAAAATTTTTAAAAATTGATCCTAATTTTTTGTACAAGTAACTTCCTGAATTTTTATTTCTATTTTACTAAAAAATTTGTATATGTTAAATCAATTTATTTATATTTATATTTTACTAAAAAATTTGTATATGTTAAACCCTAAACCCTAAACCCTAAATCTAATTTACATTTTTTTTTCAATTTTTATGAATTTTTTACTAACTTTATTACTTTTCAGTAGACTTAATTCATATTCTAATTGTGTTGTAAATAAAAAATAATTGGATAAAAAAATTTAAGAGTTTAAAGTTAAAAATAAAACACACACACAGAGAGAGAGAGAGAGAGAGAGAGATTACATATGCATAACTTTAAAAATAGAGTTAATTGACTCAAAGTTAGAGATATCAAAATCATAAAATCTAAATAAAAGAAACTAAAATAATAATTAAACTTAATAATAAAAATGTAATAATTTTCTTAGATAAATTATGACAAGTTAGGGTGAAGTAATCCGGACCATAGAAAGTGAGTTACACTCCAGAGAAGACTAATGCTTAAACATTAAAAAGAATTAATAGAGATAAATCCATAATTGCGACTGTATCTAAAGATTAATGTCTCAAAAGCATTTATGAAAATATGAGTATAAGAAAAGTGGTTTCCTCATCTGTGGAAGAAAAATGAGATAAATATTGGAGACACCTTTCTCAGAAAAGTACTCAAATTCGGAAACCTGAAAAGGGACTATTACTCGAATGGTCTCTGCCTTCATAATTAGCTAAGAGAATTTATCTTAAAATATGGGAAAAAAAAGTAAAAACATTGAAAAGAAAAACGAAAAACTGATGGCAAGTGTGTATGTATTGTTATTGTCATAAGAAATATATAACGGATGACAAAAGTGGAAGAGAATGCAGCACACGGATGCCTTCATGTTAGTTTAATTATGTACTGCTCGACCAACTCGTAATATTACTTTTGGTTGAAAAGACATGGGATAAGGATAACTATATGTAACATTCAAGCAGAATGGTATGAGCCTTTTGAATAATGGTCAAGTTGTGTAGTTTCCATCCTGACACTCCACTAACTTTGCTGGCTCTTGAGTGTGGCATGTAACTCCTTTGTCGAAATGCATAGTTTGAAAAGTGACGAAAATGACATTAAATTTCATGATTAACTGTGAATTATTATTCTAAATTATAGTTGGAAGTGATCTAAAATTCGTTGGTGCGTGTATAAAATGTGTATAACAAATTATTATTTTTTTAAACATAAACATACGCATATATTATTTTAAAAATTTAGAATCTGCAGAAGTAAAGTCCTAAACACATGCATATACCTCAATCATCTATGTTTAAAATCGTTCCTGCATTAATTACTGGAAATTTCTCTATATTGTTTTAGTACATGATTAGTTTCAGTGGGGCTATGGCTTTAAAATAATTGTGTAAGCTGATGGTAACATACTAACATCTCAACAATTTTGTTTTCTCAATTTTCGAAATGACATTAAATTGGCCTGACATTTTTAAATGATATCTCTACATGTCAGATTTTTTGTGTGATTTTTACATTATATAAATTGTAAAATTATCATTATTATATCTAGTAAAAAAAATTAAAAAATGACAATAGAAAAAGAAACTAATCTGCAAATTACTGTAGGTTGATTGATTCGACCTAATTTACGAGTTAGGTAAATCAGGTAGAAAATTTGAGAATATTTGTGCATTGCTTATTTACGAGTTAGGGTTAATTCACATATCGTAACCTATTTTCACACCTCGACTCCTAGTGAAGTCAAAATATTCAATGGCGTCAGTATCTGCGTGACTGCGTGTGTGCATGTGGGGAACTTCACCTATGCTGTGAATGGATCCGACGATGTAATGCATGGTACTTATAATTTCATAGAATTAATATATTGATATAAATGTTGTAATACTTGCAGTTACACCTCTTAATTAATTCTGTTCAAGATTTTATTAAAATTGGCAAGTCTTTTTGACAAATTATAGGAGTATTATTAAATAAGTAAAATTTATAAATAAAATACATTAAAATAAATAGTAAGCATGTTTATTTTAACAATGAATAGATATTAATAAAAGTAAATTTTAAATTTTTTAAAAGTTGATAATAAAATTGCGAAAGCTATTTAATTGAACGAAGACAAAATACCTTTATTAGTATAATGTATTCAAATTAAAATTTTAAATTAAATTCAAATTGACATTGATTAAGACTAGAGTAATATTAAAATTTATTTTATCTAAAAAAAATATATCTCCATTTGATATAGTGATGAATATTATAAATATAAAATTTAAATCAAATTTAAAATAAAAAAGAATTAACCTTAAAATTAAGTTATACAATTTGAAGAAAATATAAAAAACAAATAAAATTGGATATTTAATACCGAAAAAATTACGCAATTTAAGAGTTTGAAGGATAATAGTCATTAAAATATTTATTAAAAAATAAAGACTCGATCTTATATATAAACTTATAATATAAAGAAGAATGAATTAATATTTAAATTTAAAAAGTGCTGTATTTTACAATTAATTAAGGAGTAATAACGTTCAGTAAAAAAAATAATGGAATTGTACATGAATAATAATGTTTTTTACATAACCTTTTTAAAATAATGTTTATAATATAAATTAAAATAAGCAAGAAAAATTTGTTTAACGTATGTTATGCACAATAAAAATTAATAAATAATTTTTTTTATTAATTAGCTTTTTACTTGGCCAATGATAGTGCATCCATGTCTGATCGGGAAGAAATTGGACAAACCATTTTCGTACTGAATAACAAGGCAGTTAATTAATTAACTGGTACAAAGATTCCCACAATAATGACTTGAGTATTAAATGTCAAACCCTCTTCCTGCTAACGCTAGTAACACTGAGACGATCTATATGCTTTACAGATATCAAATTATCAACAAAATATTTTCCAACTCTTATTAAGAATTTAAACTCAATTTTTTAGTACATTAAATACTTTTATTTACTATTTCCAGCATAACTAGTTAACAAGACAACTTTTAAACAGTGATTGTACTAAGTTGCAGCTCTCCTTACCAGAAGCGTAGGGAACAAAACAGACCAAAGAATTAACTCAACTTGATCCTGTTTATTCAAACACAAAAAAATAAAAATAAAAAAAATAACTCAACAGGAATGCAAGAAACTGTAGCTTGCTTGATAATGTCAAAAGGCGTTGTCATTCCCATTGTCGGGTTCATGTCTCTTAGGTCTTACCCTTATAAATACGCAACCCTAGCTAACTATTATTTTCACTACACCTCACATCTCCAACATGTTCCAAAACCCGTGACCACTCTCCGTGTGTGTCACTTACTCACTTTGTTTCCGGTTCTCTCGAGTCTGGTAGCTTACGCAGATTAGTTTATTATTAGGTACTACAAGTAGTGTTTGTTGACAAATAATGATGAAAATGTTATCTAGGAAGGCTAGTCACGACTCTCATGGCCAAGACTCTTCTTACTTTCTTGGATGGCAAGAATATGAGAAGAATCCTTATCACCCCATTCATAATCCATCTGGGATCATTCAGATGGGGCTTGCTGAGAATCAGGTTAGCATATTTTTTACGTAAGTCACCAACTTCGTTACCTTATATTAAAACTGAAGTCGTGGTCAATTCCCTCTTCTAGCTAGTATATATCACTGTTGTTTTTAGCTACTTTTACCTTAAGAATAAAAGAAGAAAAAATAAATATACATAAAATTATTAATGTATAGTTAATGTAAAATATTTTATATTATCAACCAATTAAAATAGAATTTGTTAACCATAGTCTTTAAGGTTAGTTTTAAGCATTTATAAATATTTTTTTAATAAAAAATACGCATTTATTGTATTAAAATTAAGATTAATTAATTGTAAAAAACTTTTATATCATCAATACCTTTAAATTAAATTCAAATAAAAAAAGAAGAAGTCCCGTACGAGAGACACAGACAGAGAGTGTTTTTACGTTACAAGCTGACATTCTTGACCTAGCAATGAGCAATGGGTTGGGATATGTCAACACAATGTCTTTTAAGTGCGGTGCACATGTAAATTTGCTTGGTGTGCGGCTTAGCGGCCATTATATCGACTATATTTCTAAGTATGTGAATAATGTATTGTTTCATCCTCTAGCTAGCTGTGTCCAACAAATTAAATTGCTGACATCTTTAATTTGCAGCTTTCATTTGACCTTCTTGAATCATGGCTTCAAAGAAACCCTGACATAGTGGGGTTGAAGAAAGATGGGGCATCCATATTTAGAGAACTTGCTCTATTCCAGGATTACCACGGCTTGCCTGCTTTCAAAAATGTAAGACATGCTTTCTTAGGCTCAAATCAAAAGAGAGTAGTGTGAATTGGTTTTTTATGCCCTTATGATACATAATCTTATTTAATAAGATTTTCAACAGCACTGTTTCAATAATTAATACCGGTGCATATATATTCCACAACTCGTTTTTGCAATCATCTTTTATATAAATGTAAGTATCATATTTTATAATTAAAAGAAAGCTAGAAACAAAACATAAAGTATAATAAAGTTAATGATGTAATAAAAATAAATTATGAAACAACGTTCCACTAAAACACATAATGGTAACCGATATAAGGGAGATATTGATTAAGAAATAAAAATAAAAATTATTTTTTATTAAAAATATGAGATTTATTTAATTTTTAGTTTTTAAATAAGTAAAAATATTAATAAAGTATAGCTAATATTTCTTCATAAGTATTTTAAGTCCTTTAAAAATTTTAAAATAAATCAACAAAATTCAAAACATTTTTTGAACAAGTTTAGGAGATATTTTAAAGTTATTTTATTTATTTTTTTAGTGTATTTCTAGAATGTATGTCTAATATTATAATAATAATAATAATAATAATAATAATGATAATAATAATTTATTTTTTATTTTTTTATCAGCAAAATATTGAAATCACTGTTAGTTTTTAGTTTTTAAAATAATAAACCAGTGAAAATATTTGTGTTGGCATGAGTTGCAAGCGTGCAACAGGGAAAATAAATTATTAAAATTAAATTATTTTTAAATGTGCCTTTCCACCTTTCCTACACAACTTTACGTATGTTTGTAAAATGAGGTAGCTAATAACTAGATATAATAATGACTGCCTTTTGCCTCCCGTACAGCATACAGTGTTGGAAAATGTTCTGTTATTATCAAAATGGGATGATAAAAAGTTTATTTTTCTTTTTTAATTTTGAGGTGTATTTTCTAGATACAAATATATACAAGATAAAATAAATAAGTTAAAAATAAAAAAGTATAAATAATATTACGTATAAGGTTTGTTTCTTAATATTCATATGGTAGAACTAGCTTAATTTAATTTTCTGAAGCTCAAAAGTATGGTTTTGACAGAAAATATTCTCATGTAGCCTTTGTCAAAATCATTATATTGGAAATTTAGACGCAAAATCAAACCATATTAAAATTACATTTAGTATAGAAAATCTTTCATTCTCAACTAAATTAATTTCTTAAGAATTTTAAATTATATTCAGTCATCATTCGACTTTATTAAAAAATATTAGTTATTTTAAGAAATTCAATAGTTTTACAGCTAATTAATTACTTCAACAATATTTTATTTTTTTAACTATGAAGGTAAAATAAATATATTCTTATTTATTTATGAATTAATATTTTAAAAAATTTCATCTTGAGACAACATTTTTATTCTTTCATATTAAAAATGAGAAAATATAATACAATAATTACTTTCCTGAAAATGTTAAAATACTTACGAATTGGACTGGGATCGTCTGCTGAGGTTGCTGGTTTTTTAAGTGCCTTTAGAAATATGTTTGTCTTGAAACGAAAAATTTTAAACGTCTGAATTCATGGTGAGTTGCAAGCTGTGTCTGAATTTGGAGTTTATTATTTAACTATTTTAAAAAATATTTATACCATATATTTATATTTTATTATATATATTTATACATATATTTTCTTTTTGTGTCACATCAAACATTAAAAAAGTAGAGACCATTTGGTGTCCTATACGCCGGTTGCTCTATTTCTGCTCTATTTGTTGTACCTTCTTTTCTTTTATTATTATTTTTGTACGTATTCACATTTTTCCACACAAAAAAAGGTGTGAAGGAAGAAAGCCTGTCTATGGAAATTTTTTTATTGATATATCGCAAGATATAAGTACTTAGGACTACATAATTTTAGATTATTAAATAATTTTAATTTAATTTTTTCTTATGATTATGATTTTTGTTGTCTCAATTAATTAAAATCTAACACATGCATTTAAAATTTATTTAACATATGACAAAATATAATTGACTAGAATTTCTTAGTCCTGTACTGCCAAATGATTTTGTTTAAATTTTTCTTATGGATAATTAATTAAAATCCAACACATATGCATTTAAATTTTTTTTTTGACATATCACAAGATATAAGTGGTTGGTCATTGGTAACAGAAAATAAGGAAAATCCGAACGATACTGTATATGTAATTTTATGACATGTGGAGTGAGTTTGATTTCTCTTTTAAAAAGTTTTTTTTATAAATAAAATATAATATAAATTTATACTGTATTTTAATTTAAAAAAAATAAAAAAATTAAACATACTCTTATTACTTCTCTTTCTTTTATTTTTCTCCCTGGATGTAAAAGCTCAAAAGATGTATACAAAATATTTTTTATGAATAAAAAAAGTAGTCTTTTTTTTATTCCAAATATTTACTTATAAACATTGATGTTTGCACTTGTTGGATATATGCTTATTGCTTAGTACCTAAAAACAATTTCTTTTCTTCTTCAAGGAAATGGTGGACTTTATGGCAAAAATAAGAGGAAATAGAGTCAAATTTGCTTCGGAGAGGCTTGTCCTCACAGCTGGCGCAACTCCTGCAAATGAGATTCTGATGTTTTGCCTTGCTAATCCAGGGGAAGCTTTCATTCTTCCCACACCTTATTATCCTGGGTATAAACTCTCTTCCAGTTTTAACCATAAACATTTAGAAACACAATACTAAAAGTCTTGTTAATCAACGAAACAAAATTACACTCAGAAAAATAAAAATAGATGAAACTAGTGAAATAATAATATTAGGGTGTCTATAAATGGAAGTTGATATATGATCAAGAACATGGTAATTAGAATGAAATAAATAATGTGTTAGTAGAATCCATATTGGGTGAATTCCTTTTTAGCTTATTTGATTGTCTCTTATTTTGGCAGGTTTGATAGAGATCTAAAGTGGCGAACAGGGGTTGAGATTGTCCCAATGCATGGCTCCAGCTCAAACGGTTTCAGAATCACTTCCTCTGCTTTAGAACAAGCTTATCAACAAGCACAAAAACTGAGCCTCAAAGTCAAAGGGGTCCTAGTAACTAACCCCTCCAACCCACTGGGCATAACCATGACCAAAACCGAACTCAACCACCTCCTCGATTTCGCCATCGACAAGAACATCCACATAATAAGCGACGAGATCTACTCAGGAACAGTCTTCGACTCACCCGGGTTCGTAAGCATCATGGAAGTAGTCAACGACAGAATTAGCCAACACGGGAACGCCGTTTTGAACCGCATTCACGTCGTTTATAGTCTTTCAAAAGATCTTGGCGTTCCGGGGTTTCGCGTTGGAATGGTTTACTCGAACAACGAAACGGTTGTCGCTGCTGCCACCAAAATGTCAAGCTTCGGATTGGTGTCTTCGCAAACGCAGTATTTGCTTGCGAACTTACTGAGAGACAAGAAATTCACTTTGGAATACATGGAAGAGACTCAGAAGAGACTGAAGATGCGCAAGGAGATGCTTGTTTGTGGCCTCGGAAACGCAGGGATTGGGTGCTTGAAGAGCAATGCAGGGTTGTTCTGTTGGGTGGACATGAGGCATTTGTTAAGTTCCAAAACTTTTGAGGCAGAGAAGGAGCTTTGGATGAAGATTCTTTGCCACGTTGGTTTGAACATTTCTCCTGGATCTTCTTGCCACTGCTCCGAACCTGGCTGGTTCAGGATTTGCTTCGCCAACATGTCCGAAGACACGTTGCAAGTTGCAATGCGACGAATGAAGGCTTTTACGACACAAGTAACATCTGTTATTGACACTCATACAGTGCTACCAATTATACAACAACAAGGTCAATTTCTTAGTGGCTTTTCCACTTACGTATGAATAATCCGAACCGTATCTGATACGGGTTGTTAGGAGCTACTGTGTTTTGGGTTAGTATTCTGATATGGGTTAGTTGTTAGATTGTTAAGGATTTATTAGAGCAAGTAATATTGTGTTTTCCTATTCCGTCAATCAAGCTTATCAGGTACATATGGAAGAAAAACGATTGTTAACTGAATTGTAATCTAGTTAAAATATGTTGTATTAAAAATGTAAAATTATTAATAAAGAAAGAAATTCAGGGGTTGTTTAGGTATTTAATTTTATTTCCTATATCTAACTTGTGTGTGTTCTTTGGTTCAATGGTTGAAGATGGATCTAATCCCAAACTCGCTTCTAATTATGGATACTTGAGTGGTTGTCATACATTTGAAAATAAAAGTTTTAAATTAATATATATGGATGGATAACTTGAATCAATAATTCATTATTTTTTTATCGGTGCATTTTAGAAAATATTGTTTTAAAAAAATCTTTCAAATTTAATAAAAATAGGGAGAATTGCTAATTCAAAATAAGTTGACTAAATATGTAATTAATATTTTAGATTATAATAATATGAGTTTTTTTTTCCGGTTCAGTTGTATTTTTGGTCAAATAATTGAGGCTTGAGGTTGGGAGTTCCCTTTTTTTTTTCCTCTCAGTCCAGTAGTGAATTATGAGTTCTACATTAGAACGGACATCAATCTGGCCCAATTCTGATTCTTTCCGAGGGAATGAGGCCCACCCAAAAATCAAACGTAGCGCACATGTTTTGAGTCCATGTCGCGTTCCACGCAACTAGTTCACAATATTTTTCAATTGCAAACATTTTTTGAAATGCAAACACAAAACGAGCTAAGTTATAGGTCATAAAAATTCAAACTATGTTTCACTATTTTAAGGGGAACTAGTTCCTATTATTAAACAATATCCCAGTCAGTAACAGGTTATATAGGATTTGAACGGTGTTATGTTAAATATTTTATTAATGAAAAGACTATACACTTTTTAATATAACTAATAAATTGTACAACTTGTTTTGATTGATTTTTGCACGCTAAATATTATAACTTTCAGTAGGAATAGGATCCAAATCTAAAAGCTGTGTTATATGTAACTAGCGCAATTTATTTGTTAATTAAGCGCTGTATATGAAACAAATTATTATCACAGTAAATATATGCGCACATGCACAAACAAACACATGCAATGGGATAATATAATGCGGGATGTTAAATTTCATGAAATGACACGTTTAAAATCTTTTATTAAAAATGAAATTTCATTAATTTAACCATTAAATTTAAAGCTATTACCAAATATATTAAGTTTATAAAATTTTCAACTAATTACTATTTATTACACTATTGTATTTTAACATATAATATGCCTAGAGGAACAGAAAACATGGGTATGAGAGAGGATACCGAAAAGACTCAAGATTTTTTATTTGAACTGAAACTGTACAACATAAGGTATATCATGTCATGCATGTGGAGGATATATTCTCTTATGCTAGGTTTTTATACGATAAAGTCATATGAAAAATTTACATTTAATAACTGTTAAAGAAGAGAAAAGCAATGGTATAATTCATTTCCTTTCTGTATCATGCATAATCCGAGGGAAGAGAATTTTGAAAGAAAAGTTTTTGAACAAGAGCAGGTTTTGGCAATGGAAGAGAAAATGTTGAAGACGTGGGATGATTGGTTTAGCATACTTTAACCATAAATTAATTTTTTTTATTGAAGTAGTTTTAAATAAATGACAGAAATTAATTACAATTTATTTGAATCCATTTATTACTGTAATATTGGAAAATCCAACGTGATGACGTAGCATTCCATTATAAGAAGCATGACAATGCATCGTATCAGAAAAGCTGCGTGGCGGTTATAGGAACATTTGGGGGTTAACCACGTGGAGGATCCGTTACTCCCGCCATTCGTGTGTTGGCTGGCCGCAAGAGAGAGAGAGAGAGAGAGAGAGAGAGAGAGAGAGGCAAATAGTGCATTCAGGAATTAATATTCGACGTTCAACTATTTTCATTTTTTTCTCAACTTTAAGAAAAAAGGCGAAACTGTTAGGGTTTCCCCAAAACCAGTTTCTGCATAAAACCTTCCCGTGAAGACGAACCCCCTCCGCGTTCTTTTTTCCTCGACATTGTGTTTTCTCTGTCACTGTTTCTGGAATTGCATCCACAAATTCTTCATCCAATGCAGGTTCTTCTTATCTTCTCTGTCCAATATTCTTTTGTTTGTTTGTTTGTTTTTTTCTCAGGTTTTGCGTAGGAAAGAAACCATACATTTGATTAGTCATCTTCCTTCATCATAAATACTAGTATACACATAGAAATTAGAAGTGGTATGTACGTACTAACTCAATTAACATTAAACAATAGTATGTAAATATATATTTGTGCCGCGTACATACGTATTTTAAAGTGATGATGATATGTATGTTGATTCGCTCAGTGCACTACAGCCAACTATGTGCGCACGAATTGTTTTTGGGCTTTTGTGCTTCGTGCTTATACTGTATTGGTTTATGAAGTCATGGGGTAATGAGAGGGAATCATTGGTTACAAAAACAGTGTTAGTTTGAAACTGTTGGATCATATGTATGAATCTATCGGTTGATAACTCTCGGTGCCTAGGTTTAATTAGTTTTATTATGGAAAATATTAATCAATGCCCTAAAAAGTGTTATTAATGTACTTCCACCATGGTTCTTAATGCACTTCTGTATAGTTTTTAATAAAAACTTTCAATTGTTCCATCTTTAATCAATATAGTTAGGCAACTTAGCAAGATTCTTTTTCCTGTTTAGTGATTTACTGTACAATTTTTGCCCCGTTCTATTTTTTCAGGCTTCCCAATCCTCTTTTAGTTGCCTACGCTACCGGCTTTAAATCTAATTTCGCGTAAACTTTGAATTTTGTAGTTACAATATCACATTTATGAATTATGTAGGCTCTCTGTTTGATATCCCTTGGTAAATTGCACAAGGGTAGTATTAACTGTGATAAAAGTTTTTAACTATGATGCCAAAGAAAGTCATTTCTTACTGAGATATATTGATTGGAATTTTGTTCTTTCAGGTGACTGATGTGATTTTGATGTCTAATGTCTTTCTTATTGGGTAACGAGACGTGTCAAGTTTGCCACAATAGGCAAAGATGAACATTGCTGCTCTTTTAACATCTGCTGGAATTAATATTACCGTGTGTGTGGTGCTCTTCTCACTCTATTCAATATTACGGAAACAGCCCAGCAATATCAATGTGTACTTTGGAAGAAGGCTTGCCTCTCGGCGTTTGAGAAGCCGTGATCTTTCCTTGGAAAGATTTGTTCCCTCTCCTACCTGGGTAGTGAAAGCATGGGAAACTACTCAAGATGAAATACTGACTATTGGTGGCTTGGATGCTGTGGTTTTTAGCAGGATGCTTGTGTTCAGGTTGTTAATTTATTTTTAAATTGAAACTTTCAAAGCTGTATGTTTTAAATTGCTGCAGACCAGAGTGTACGGCTTTCTTATCCAGTAAGTTTTAATCTGAAATTTGAACTGTGTCAACAAGATGCCAACCTACTGAGTGAAGATATCTTAATCCTAGATAATTAAGTAGAAGTGAATAGATGGTATTATGCTCAATTATTGTTATATTTTCTTTGCTTTTGAACAATACTTTCCGGATGCACCTGGTATCGGCATTATGCACCACCAAGCCTCTTTTGATTAATATTTATTAAAATGCTCACTGTGTTGCACAACATTTCATCGATTTTATTAGTGATTTGTTTGAGCCTCTGAAATAAACGAAGCCAAACATTAAAATTATCCACGAGGTGGGATACTGTTGAAAAAGTCACACTTGAATGAATATACGTGCTTTTGGACAGCACGTGCTTAAATAAAATCTAATGCACTGTTATGACCAGATAAGAAATTGTTTACCTTTTTTAAGATTACAAATGTGTGTCTACCTATATGAAAAAATTTTGGGTGGTACACATGGTGTGGTCACTCTCGTTTCTATGAGTTAAAATTTTACAATTTACGAGAAAAATACATGTATGTTACGTAGCCGAAATCATGTGGTTCCCAACCACAAGAAAATTTCTCTTACCTATGTATCATCATAAATGGTTGTTATTATACTGCATGCACCCGAGATTATAAGCCTGTTAAGTCATTAAGTTACTACAATAGCTTTCTGGTGATGCCAAACCCAAGTTTGCCTAAATTTGCCAACTTATTCTTTTCACTTGTCTGAGTTTTATGAGTTTACTTTCAGCACCATTTTATGTTACATAACTTGTTAATCACACATCATTAAATTAAGAAAAAACTGAAGTGTAAACGTATTTTTTTTGTCCATTTTTTGGTTTTCTAACTGTTGACATTGCTATTTTCTTCTTCAGTATTCGAGTATTTTCTGTCGCTGCTGTCGTCTGCTTTATTCTAGTGCTTCCAGTGAATTACTATGGTCAGGACAGAATACATAAGAATATACCTTTTGAGGCATTGGAAGTATTTACCATTGAGAATGTTGGAGAAGGATCCAGTTGGTATGAGCCATTTCTTATTTTTAAATGAAAGTGTTCATTATGTAAGTTTAATTCAAATAGCCAATAGTGTATTGAAGCTAAGAAAATAATGAATAAACAATAGAAAATACTTTTAAAGAGGTTTCTTGAGGTTTTATAGTTAAAAATTCTACCCACTTTTTACCACTCATTTTTATCTCTACTTCTGTCCATCATATTACCATCTTATCTCATACTTTTTTTTTTCTTCTGTTAGTTGTAAAAAATAGTTACAGAATAGAATTTCACGAACAAATAAATTTCTGGAAAATTTGGGTCTGCTCTGAGTTTCTTTTTCCCCAAACAGAAACTAGAATTTTCCAGGCCCAAGTCCTTCTCCCTTTTTATTAAGTATTTTTACTCCATTTTAAGATGTTATTGCTTTTAAAGTTAATAGCTTTAATCATGAATACTCCTACAAACTGGTTATTTATAGGTTGTTTTTATTCTTTTGCTCGATTTCAGGCTTTGGGCTCATTGTCTCGCGTTATACATCATAACTTTATCAGCTTGTTCTCTTCTTTACTTCGTAAGGAGCTGAACTCACCAGCAAAATTGATTTGTCTACCTATTTTCAGAGTGACCTAACAAGTTTTGTTTTTCTTTGCCAATTTTTAAAAATGACTAAACAAGTGACACAATGTCCAGGAATTCAAGTGTATTGCTAATTTGCGGTTACTACACATTACTACATCGCCGCCAAATCCAAGTCATTTTGCAATTCTTGTCCGAGGAATACCCTGGTCTCCAGAACAATCATACTGCGATACAGTGAAAAAGTTTTTCTCATATTACCATGCATCAACATATTTGTCACACCAAATAGTGTATAAGTCTGGTGCAGTTCAGAAACTGAAGGTCTGCCTCTTATCTTAATTTTTTTAATCTATATTGCGATTGCAGTATCGTATTTTTATTTATTTTCTTCCAAATTAGTGTGTTTAATTTTTTTTCTCCCTTTTGCATGTGTCACACTTGTTATGTTATTATCATTACAGTCGATGTATATGTCTGTAATAGACAGTAGAGGGCCCTTATTTCGTAGATTAACTTGTATGTACTATGTAGACTTATTGTGAAAATAAGTGTCTGCATTTCTTTCATTTTCCGGTTCTTGCTTTGCACTTTATTAGCTTATTTGGTATGGAACTTTTTTCTTGTATTTTCTTTTTCTTTGAAGGAATCTTGCAAATCCCGGGAATTTTATGTAGCTGAGTAGAGGCTCCCTTTTTTTTTTTTCTTTTTACATTTTGACATATGCCCCGCTTTGCATTTCTCATCCTTTTCTTAATGGCAAAAAGACCATCAAATACTTTTGAATGTGGTATGCAATGTGAAATTAGAAAATTTTTTCGTGAATCAAGGAGAAACTATTTCAAAAACTTAAACTATTAGGTTAGTACTCCCTCTCGCATGAGAGTTCTTTAGGCTTATCTGTATCATCGAAGTTTAGGCACTGTGTTTTGAACCAAAGGTCTAAAAACTAAAGTTATTGAATGAGAATGATCAATTTTATATCTAACAAAGTCCGTGACAGGTTTCAGTTCTTGGATGAGTGATGGTCATGGTTATTGGATTTCTTAATCATTTGTAGTGGAATTTCTTAATATCTGTGATGTCATACTGTCATTCCCAATTTAATGGGAGTAATTGGGCTTTTTTTTACGATCGCGTAAGTACAAGTACGAGAGATGATCTTTAAATAATATAAATTTCTAGCATTCTTCTCTCTATTGATATGTCACATGGTCTGTTTAAACCTTTGTTTCGTTTAATCTTCTTCCACAAGGATGATGCAGAAGATATGTGTAAGATGGTCGGTGTTGGTTGTCTTTCATTGGGACAGACGTGTAGTCCAAACTTTACGGAATGTTACTTTTGTGGAGGACCTGCAAATTCTTTTAAGATGATTTCTAATGAAATTGATAGTATACATGGGAGAACAGCCTACAGTGACTTGCATTCAAATTCAAGAAAAAAGGTCAATTTTCTGGCTGGATTGATTTATATTATTATATTAAATTTACTTCTGATCTGATATTGATTTTTATTGATTCACTTTAATTATATTTTCGTCTGCTGCACTGTTTGACTTGTGTCCAGTTTAAACCTGGGAAACAAATCTAAACTATTCCTCATACAAGTTTGTCTATGGTTCCAGCATAATATATAATTGCCTTTTAATCTGAATGTAGAAATGCCATGTTACTTATGTAACCTGAAGGAACAAAACAACGAAAGCATCATCAATGGAGCTTCGTTCTTGTTTCTGCAGTATAAAAATCATTCTTCGACTAGCTCCTAACAATTTTAGCTTTTGGAAGGAATTGGTTCTTGGCACAGTTTTTAAGCCTTTTTTTAACCAAGTATTTAAGAGTTTAATATTAATGTTCTCATTCTTTACAATTAAAAAGCAAGTTTTAGTAGATGGCAAAACGGGTGATCTTTGTAGAAAACTAAGAAATATAAGAAAGTAATAAATGGGGAAAAGTTTTTAATATATTTCAAGGTTCAGCATACATTCTGCACTGGTTTGTGACTTCTTTCAAGCTTATTATTTGGCTCTGAATTTATCTTTAATTTCTGTGTCACTGGATCGGGTAGTCTGAAATATACAAATACTTGCATGTTTTCTAGTGGTGTATTAGCCACAGACGAAGCAGTCAATAGTGTGAAATTTTGTAGGCCATTATGGAGTAACATGAGTTCATAAAAAATCGCTTTTTCCCCCAAGAATTTCTTATAATACACCAAACTATATATATTATCTTTCTCATAATACATCATTTATCTTATTTTACATTTCTCTGGTAATTGTAAACACATTTGTAAAGATTTATTTTACAAAATAAATTCTCTTTTATGTGATGTTAAACATTTATGCTTACATGATAATAGCAAAAATATGATCACGTTTGGGTCTCTAATACAGGAATGTGCGGCAGCCTTCGTGTTCTTTAAAACTCGGCATGCTGCTCTTACGGCTGCCCAAAATCTTCAAACATCAAATCCTATGTTATGGGTCACAGACCTAGCTCCTGAACCCCGTGATGTTTACTGGACAAACCTTTGCATACCATACCAGCAACTTTGGATCCGGAAGATAGCTACATTTGTGGCTTCGATCACCTTCGTGCTTGTATTCCTTATCCCTGTCACATTCGCACAAGGCTTGACTCAACTAGACAAGCTTGAGAAAATGTTTCCTTTTCTTACAGGGATGCTTCAAAAGTAAGATGTTACATTTTTATACGAGGGACAAATATTATGAACTTCCATACTCTTGGCCTGGCTCATGTTTTTGCCAATATATATGGAAAAGATTTTTGAAATAAATAATTGTGCATGATAAAGTGAGGGCAAAACTTTGTTTGATAAACCCTTTTTTCTGAGCAACTAAGGCGTATTTTATTAGAAGTTAATTCAGAATTTCCTAGCCTGTTACTTGCTCATACGATCCTAGGCCTATCACTAATTAATCTTCTTGTGCAAATTTCAAGATTCTCGAACATATTATTGTACCCGAAAAAAACTGTTATACAGTTTATTGTAAATTGAAACCTCTTTTTTTCAGGAAATTTGTGATTCAGCTGGTGACTGGTTACTTGCCAAGTGTGATTTTGGTTTTATTTTTATATGCTGTTCCACCAGTGATGATGCAATTTTCAGCAGTGGAGGGACCTATTTCCCGTAGTGGAAGAAAGAAGAGTGCATGCACCAAAGTTTTGTACTTCACAATTTGGAATGTGTTTTTTGTTAATGTTTTTGCCGGGTCTATCATCAGCCAACTCTCAGTCTTTACTAGTATAACAGAACTACCTGCCCAACTTGCCAAGGCAGTCCCACTGCAGGTGATTTACTATGATTCCTAGATGACAAATGCCTATTGTAGATTATGCACCCATTGTGTGGACTTGCACTTGCACCAAACATTTAATCACCACTGAACTAAGCTTTTGTTCCTTTCAGTTTTTGTAGAGCAGGTAAATTGGTAATTCTTCCGTGATTTCACTTTAATTTGGTTTTTTCATGGCATACAGGCTACCTACTTTACAACATATGTTCTATCATCTGGTTGGGCAAGTTTGGCATTTGAAATCATGCAACTGTTTCCTCTTTTCTGCAATCTGTTCCAGAGATTCGTACTCGGGTATAAGGACGATTCAATGGATGGCAACCTAACTTTTCCATACCATACAGAAGTTCCAAGGATATTACTATTTGGATTCCTTGGGTTCACCTGTTCTATTCTGGCACCCCTGATATTGCCCTTCTTATTGTTTTACTTTATACTTGCATACCTCGTCTACCGAAACCAGGTTAGTACTTCTATCACGATTTTATCTCCTTTTTATTCATCATAAAGTTAATTGTGCTTAATTCGTTTGTTTATGCACAAGCATTTACCTTTAATGGGTGTATAAGTTCTTCTATATTTATTTTACACTGTTTTATTTTAGGCATAAACAGACTTAGAAATCAGTACAAAACTGGCTTTTCATGTGATGACAATTTCCAAACAATTTTATTCTGTAAGATTCATGAAATTAGGGGATAAGGTGAGAGATGGGGTTGAATTATTTATCGAAATCCGTAGTCATGTCTCCTAGTTTTTCAATTGAAATTTACAAAAATGAGTTCGAGCTACCATTCTTGCATCCTGTGGTTTGTCTCGTTGACAACCACTATTTCCATTTCCATTTCCATTTTTAACCGAAATAACATGTAACACGGACATTCGTGCATTAAACCACATTATTTTAGGAGTTGAAATGCTTCAAAACGACTTATTTTAGCGTTGCACAAGCAATGTTAATACCCATTTTATGTTGAAACTGAAAGGAAAATATACAGTGGATACGTGATAACGAAACAAATCATAAAAACATAGCTGACTTGGTTCAAACCAAGGTGCACATTGAATCGGGATAGAGGGTGAGAAATTGAAAATTATCCGAAGTGGTTGTTCAAGTAAGACGAGACCTGCAACTTTAGTGACTAAGTTATGGCTTAGATGTAAATCTAAATCTCTTCCTTCTATACTATTTCTCTGGTCAAAGTGTATTTTGTTTTCTACGTTTATCTTGAAAAAGAAAACTTCCATTTAATACCAGCATTTTCAGATTCTCAATGTATATATCAAAAAATATGATGGCGGGGGACAGCTATGGCCCATTGCTCACAACACAACAGTTTTCTCATTGCTCTTCTCTCAAGTTATTGCACTTGGGGTGTTTGGACTAAAACGCTCAACAGTTGCATCTGGATTTACCATTCCATTGCTGATTGGTACCATTCTATTTCATCAATATTGTAGGCAGCGATTTCTCCCAGTATTTAAGAACAATGCAGCACAGGTGCTGTCCCCTTACCCACACTATTCCGCTCCCCAGTTCCTTTTTTTCTCATTCTCACCTCTAAAACTTAAAATTCATTTTGTTTTAGGTTCTCATTGACATGGATCGTAGAGATGAGCATTGTGGGAGAATGAACGAGGTTTATGAACAAATGCATTCAGCTTACAGCCAGTCCACTGGTTCTACTCAATCTGAATGTTTCAGTAGTCGTCCAGGGAACAGGGAATGTGTTCAGACCCCACAAGATATGGAGAGAGGTAATTTGTTTCCATTCAATGGTAGGGATTTCACTTTTCCATATGAAATTAATGATATGATGGTTCGGGTATGTTTGTTCGTAATTTTTTTTCAGGCATGGATTAACCAAGAAGTTTGTCATGGCCAGTTCATTGTACTGTGAGTTAACCGGTACTTGGCAGGTAGTAATAGAGTTCTGAGGCTTGTACATGTGAAAATCATCGTGATGTCCCTCCCAAAAATGGGAGTGGTGCATGAACAGCGGTGGGGAAAGGTAATCTTAATTCCAAATACCTACGAAGAAAATAGGAATTGGACTCTCCCGGAAAGTTCAGTTGAGCGACATAGTGGATATGTGTCATGCTATTAATCCTATTTTCTATGTAACTGTAATTGTGCATTATAAGATAACAATACAATGGATAAATTTTTGTGAAGTGATAGAAGTACATTGTATTTCTTTCTATTCTATGTAATTATGTATGCACGATAATTAAGATCATTTAGAGAAACGTTTAGTTGTTGTTAATAATTAAGATCATTTAGAGAAAGGCTACGTAATGGAAAGACCATCTAATTAATATCTTATGTTTTGTAAAACAGTTTTATTTTTGTTTTTCTTAGCACTCACTGATAAATCTTATTTTTTATTCCTTAGTTAATCACTATCCAAAGAGCACCCGATAGACGACGGTGAATTCCAATTTTAATTACTCGAACATATCAGTCTGGATTTGTCCTATACCAATTTAAGTTGAATTTTAACAAATTGTTGAAACAATTTTATCTCATTGTGTGGCATTACTGTTTTTCAAGCATATAGAACTCAAAAGTGTAATGGTTGCCCAAAATTTCAAAGTTGAAAGGAATTGCAAGGCAGAAGCGCCATTGACACGCTGGAACGCGATTCCCTTCTATTGTTTTTTTCTTTTTGTTCAGCTGCAACATTATCAGGTCATCGAGTAATGGGCCTAGTCCATTTTAATACTTAGAAGGCCTACTAAGCCCCACATTCTTGTCCCATTGAGAATGTAAATATTAGGAAAGTTGTTCTTTTTAAAAAAAGAAAGGCCTTGACCAAAAATTGAAGAAAGAGACAAAGCAAAAAATAATACACTTCACTGGCGTTTAATAAATAACAACAACAACAATAATAATCTTTCTCCTGGTTGTTAATTTTTTTCAGGTCATGTTTCACTTTTTAATAAGCAAATTTGCAAATAGGTAATAATGGGAAGGAGATGTACTTTCTAAATTGTTTCATACAGTTTAATAGCTTTTTCAGTTACAACACATACCAACGTCCAACACTCCTTATTTAAATCTGTATACAGAACAAAGTCAGTTAGAAATAAACATTAAATTGACATTTTTTAGTTACTGGTTTGAAATTGTGCATTTTTTGGGTGTGGAAAGAAAAGAAAAAAAGAACAATATTGTAGATACTGTATGATGCATGTTAAAGGACATGTTTGTTATGAGTATAAACATTAAATACATAAACCAATTGTGGAGAAGAATGAAACACAATTCTAAGATAAAATATATTATCTTTGGCACCTTTGACACACAAAAAGAGTGGGCCAAGGTCGGCTATTATTTTCTTGGAAATGGTATTAAAAATTATCAGCAGCCATTCTGAAGCAATGTAAGAAATGCAGTTAACGAATAAAACATGTTTGTCGGGTTTAAGGGCTGGACGGAAATTTGAGAAGTTTACATGTTAGTGAGTGTCATTATCATTGCATAAACAAAGAAGGCCATTCCAAATTCCAATTGATTATATGATACGGATTTAAATTCGCTTAGGATTCAGAATCCAAATAGAAGGGGACTTGTTATTATTAAAAGTATTACACATTAATAATGGGATTAGAGAAGTCGTCGTTTCGCTGTTGTCATGGTTAAGGCATGCCCTGCCTACAGGGCCTCAATCACGGATCGGTGTTAATTTGCTTTGTTTTGTTCAATTATTAATTATTATATTTCTGTAAAGTATGAACTAACTCGCAAGTCAAGTTTTTTAAATCCTTGTTTTATGTTGTAGGATTCTTCTCTTATGTTTTTTTCCGGCTTCGGGATATTCCCTTTTACTTTACAGAGCGAAATTATTCATTTTATAAACTTTATTGTTTAAATAACTACTAATTGCTGATAGTTTATTAAGCATGCCTTTTCAGATGTTTATTTATTTTGCTTCAATTGAATCTATATTGCTATAACATGTTTAACTTATTAGTAGGCAAAAATGTTAGTTCTTTTCTTATGAATTATGATCAATTTGTAGAAAATGCTTCCTTCTTTAATTTCTAGAATAACTGCAAATGGTTTTCGTCCAACGCGGTACACTCTACTTTTTATTAACATTAACATCATTAATTGAGGTTGCTGAAATACGATATAGAGTACACAAAATGAGGGTGAAAGAGGGATTTGAAGGGAGGATATTCCGTGCAACTATATAATTATTGAAGGAGTTAGATCGGTAAATGGGGCCAAAGTTTGAAACTGTTGACAAAATCATTAGTAACGAGTTTCACGTATATGTCAACCAATTCTAACAAATGATGACCATTACTTACCAGACAATATCCATAGTCAACAAAAATTCATCTAAAAGCATTACAACTGTAATCAACTACATATATGTACACTCAGTGAGCTAAGCTATGTGTCTGCTACGACTACATGATAATGACTGCTTTGACCTTTTGAGCAAATAAGTAACAAAATGGTAGCGGTTGGTCTATAGACTAAATATTTTGTGTTGGTTGCGATGACCGATGATGTAAAGCTAAATCTTCTCTTTTTTTCTTTGTTTTCCACACTGGCTGAATAGATGAAAGTCATCACAAATGGGAGCTCTACATTCTGTGAAGATCCATGCACAGATCAAAACCAATGTTTTAGTTTATTTTTATAACTTTCTTAGTATAACTTATTAAAATTGCTATTTTCAGTTTATCTTAATAAATTTTATCATTAAATTTATGACATAAATTATTATTTTAAAAAATATATTAAATAAATACTTAAATAAACAGTATCTAGACACATCCTAAATCTTATAAAAAAAAAGAGTGGACAAAAAGGGAAAAAAGTAAAACACACGTTAGAATTCAAACTCACACTTAGCTACGTATTAATTTGAGGGAACCATTTTTATTTTGTAATGAGACTTTTTAATGCATATCTAAAGATACATTGTAAAAATTTATTTATAGTAAATATTTATTCAAAATTATAAAATAATATTCAGCCTAATATATTAATAATATTTAACAAATATATATATATATATATATATATATATATATATATATATATATGTGTGTGAGTGTGTGTGTACTTACTCATATTAAGAAAACAATTTTTTATTATAAAACTTAGTAAACTCTCTTTACTTAAATTTGTTTTTGGAATTAAATTGATTAAGCTTAATTAATCTATCAAAAAATTATTTACATTAAAACAATAAAATAGAACCCCCCCCCCCCTACTAATATTATCTTAATTTTTTATCACTGTTTATCATTGTGTTTTGGGATTTTTCTGTACTCAAACCAGAATTGTTATAAAACAAAATATGTTAAGTAACGTGAAAACTTTGACTTTATTAATAATGATGGAAAACAACTGTAAGAAGTTCCATGCGTCATAATCATATATCAATTATATCTGCTTATTAAGACTTCCATAGTCACAAATTTGGACGCATCACTGTTTATGCTCCATTATTGCTGTCACCGTGTAAATTTGGAAGTGGGGACTTTTTTTTTTATGTTTCTAGACGAAGAACAATAAAATACATGCGGGGTATTTTATGTTTGTAGAACATAAAATCAAAGGGTATATATTTCTCGAAATTAACCTAAATGCAAATCTTGCACTGAATGATTGAGCAAAGATACACAAATCCAGTACGAAGAGCATAAACAAATGTGATTTTAGCAGCATTTACCATGTATATTCAAATGAAAAGTAACGTTATCGGACGAAATTCCTTGAACTTTCGGCATCCCGGTACATAATATATATTAAGCATGTATATGGGACATGTTTATGATCACTTACTTGAAACTTTGATAGCATTATTTTTTAAAACTCAATAATATTATAATGGGATGGAGTCAATCCAAAATACAGAAATATATATCAACACTAAAATTATGTACAGTTAAATTATAAATTAATAAAGTATAAAATTAAAATATAATTTATAGAATATGCTTTAAAATTAATAATATTAAATCAAATATAATATCATGGTTCATAATGTATTTTTATCTTAATTTTGAAGTTTTTTTTATTAATATATAATTGTTTAAGAAAGTATAAATTTTAAAAGGATGTTGAAGCAAGTTAAGACAACTCAAAATATAATTTTAATTCTCTAAAAAATATACTTTGTTTAATTTTAAAATTCTAAATTCATTAAAATTAACGTGAAAAACGAGTTAGAGAGATGGGTCGAATATTGTATGCTCACGTAATTAAACAAAGTACTTGTAGTAAAATTGTAAATATAGAAAATTATAATAGTTTTCATGGTTAAATAAATATCGTTAAAAATATAACTTGTAGTGTACTTCGACTAATCTGACGTAGATTATTAAACACTTGCTAAGATACTCCATCTCTGCACCATGAACTACTTCAATAAAATCAGTTTCTGAGGTTTTCAACTAATTATTATATGCAAAACATTGCACTGCATACTACACATTTTCCTTTATGTTTTTAACACTTTGATCGATGGGTTACATAATCTTTAACCCTAAGATATCTATTGTGGTAAATTGGAAAGAAGAATGCTACTTTCTACACAACTATTTTTCACAACAATTCTTATAATTTAAGAGAGAAATAGAAAGACAAGAGAAAAAAAGTGTATATGGATGGGTGTTGTGAGATAAGGTAAAAATAAATTATAATTGTGAAAATTTACTGTAAGTATAACATTTCTCAATTATAAACTCTTATTTTATCGGTAAAATTTGCTAATGAAGCTTCTGCGATTCATGCAAAAGCTATATTAATGTTAAATATTGCTGCTAAAGAGGAACTCATACCTAGCTAAGAAAGTATTTTAGTGATAACTGAAGAATAATGATAGTTGGTCGGGTTCACTAGCTTCTATAAGCTTTGTACCCACATAGAAAAGCAATTCTGAATGATGTTCTAACAATGAAAACAAATCATTTGAGTAAAGACACTGAACTTCATGTTACAACAAAAAGAGACTCCTCTCCGTAATATAGTTAATGGTCTAAAAATGCTTTTCACCCTCGCAAGACTAGCTAGCTACCTAGCTACGCTGAAGTCATTGATGACCTGATAATGCTAAGCAGAAATGAACTTTGCGGGATATGCTTTATGGTCAACAAGGACCACGTGCTTCATAAGCACTCTTGCATTTAAGAGTAGCATATATATCCACACCTACCATATTATCCAGAGATGACTGCAGACTATATGGCACCGTCCCTAGTGCCCCTTTCTACGGTTGTCTAGAATTTAATTTAATCTCCTATTGGTATATGAATAAAAAATAAATGTCTGAAAATAACAGTACTTACATACCAGTTATAATATTATAGTTTTTCTGACAAATGCTTATCTCCTGCGACCCATGCAGTAAATAAAAAAGGAAACGAATCATGTGTTTCTCACAGGAAGCGCAAGATCAATGTAAACTAATTTTATACACTTGAATTTAGCTATGTCCAATGCTGCAAAATATCTTGTTAGAACATAAAAATAAAAAGATATATTGAAATGATTCTCAAAACTACAGCCAAATAATACTCAAACAAATCAGATAAATTGCATTGTCACAGTGCCACTAACGGATCAGCACACGAATCTCAATAACAGACATATTGCTAGTTATATATGTAGCTGATTTTATTATCCATATGGGAATCAAATACAAGCTTCCCTTTTGCTAGCTACAATTGGCTACAACAAATAATGTACATGATGCTATTGAGCCCCCGGGTAGCTCAACTCTTGGAAAGAACATTCTCGTGGCATCTCTTGCCTCACACCCTCATAATTGGAAGCAACAATTGGAGGATTCATCAAAGAACTTGTCTCACCCCAATTAGTGCTTTGGCCACAAGTTGAAGAAGTGCACATTATCTTATCAGTAATCATGTCCTCTCCATAGAGGAACTCCAACCCACTTAATCTGTGCGGATAATAATTAGTAGAAACCATTTCCCCAATTGCTGCAGTGAAACTACCTTGTCCTTGCATCAAGTCAGAACAGTACTCATTAATCTGAGCAAATTGAACTTCGTTGTTGTTAATAGAGTTCATGCAACAAGAAGAGCCAACAGGGATTTGCTCTTCATGAATATTTTGTTGTGTTGATGAGGGAGAACAACCATCTGGGAACTGAAGATTCAATCCATCAAGGATAGGTTGATAATCATCAGAGAATCTCCCTCCAAGCTTGATTAACAGTTTTCTAATAGAGTCTTGGTCGTTGAAACTTGGACCTTGGTTTGTGTATGGCATCGGTGGCAGCAAAGGAATCTGTGGCCAATATGGCTGTTGTTGAGTACTATTTTCCTGAACCATGGATGAAGAATAGCTCTCATGCTTAACAACACCGTTTCCTTTGTTACGTGCTTGTTGTTCCTTCCGATGCTTCCCTAGAAGCTTCTTCTTCAGCCTAGTGTTCCAGTAGTTCTTTATGTCATTATCAGTTCTTCCTGGCAATTGGGCTGCAATCACTGACCACCTGCGATTTATTACACAAAAGGGTTCAAGCAAAATCAAACTCGATTGCACCAAAAATATTAACAACATGTGTTAATTCAGTTCATTTAAAACAAATAATAACATTTTTTTTGTTATTTTAAAGTGGTTTTGTTTTCTAAATTAAATCTCTAAATTTAAGGGTTAACGAAGTTTAATCACCAAACCAAACACGTACCTGCTTCCAATACTAATGTAAAGGCTGCAAATAATGTTGTCTTCTTCTTCGGAGAAACCTCCGTGCTTAATGTTAGGGCGGAGATAATTCAGCCACCTCAGGCGGCAACTCTTGCCACATCGCTTAAGGCCTGGAAATTTAGAAACGAAATTCTGATGATATACATAAAAAGAAATTAAGAAAGAGAAGTTCTTTTAGTATAGAAGATTTTGTTTACTGAACGATGAGCTAGTCACAAAATAAATAGGGTTAATTGAGTAGTGTGTAATATTAGATATTATGAATAACTATAATACCAATCTTTTGTGGCAAAGCGATCCAGTTACCACCAGTTCCGTGCTGTTCGATGTAGGATTTGAGTTTGGCATCTTCTTCTGGCGACCATGGACCTTTCTTCACGTTTGCTTTGTCACAGCAAGGTGCCCTTCCCATGTTGTTGCTCTAAGCTTGCTTGATTGATTATTCGGGATGACCGTTCTCTACTTACGGTCAGAATATGAGCGAGAGAGAGAGAGAGAGAGAGTTATTTTTTAATTATAAAATTGGGAGCAGATAAACATGATTCCAAGAACATCCCATCGTACAAATTTTATATAAGGTGTGGCAGAAAAGAAAGGTATTTATATAGAAAATTCCAGAAATTTAGTATTGCCAGAATAGGAGAATAAGGTTCGTTCTTCTTGTCTTTCTTAAACCGGAATCAATATTTCTTGCACCTTTTTGAAGTCCACTCCACTCTGACCCTCACTGTCCAAGGATATACGAGCATACGACATGCCTAAATTACTCTCTTTTGCTCAGTATTTCCTGCTTCACTGTTCTTTTACTTATTTATTTCTCCATTAAATTATTTGGTATACACGTTACACCCCTTAAACCATAATTCATGACATTCATTATCGGTGACATTTTTAATTTGGTGAAGGAGAATTACGATGTGCGTATATTGGGATTTAAAATTTTGGGTGATGGCTTGCTTAAGTTGTTCTACTGTCAGATGATATTCGATCAAACAATTATCTTTTATCGTAAAACAAATATTATAGCCTTGACCACCTATTTTGATGGTAGTTAAGCTTTCAAAGGCAATTAATTGAGTTTTTAAACTCTCGAGTTCATTAGTTTCCCCCCTAAGACGTATTCAAAACTTTTAAAATTGCATTTATTTTAACATTCCGTCAAAACTCAAGATTGTGTTGATGCAGCTTATTTTGCGTTAATTGTCGGGTCTTTATTTTATTTTTGGTCCGGAGAGATAATCTCATTCGAATCAATAATATTTACAGTATGGTCAGATTAATTCTCTTGATTTTTTTTATGTCTAAAATTTAAATTCAAGACTTTACTTAATGAGAATGAGAATGTAACATGTATATATTGGAAAAATAAAGATTAAAAACATTTTATTCTCTGAATTATGACCCTAATTCACTTAATTTTCACCCTTTATATATACCTAATTTAATAATTTATTATATATGTATAGATTATATTTTATAAATATATTTAAAATTATTAATTTATAAAAATATTTTTATATTTATAATTTTAATTTTTTTTAAATTCATGATAAATGTTAAAATCTAAAGCACTACCGCTTAAAGAATGAAAATATTCTCTATGCATATATCACATGTTATTACTAAGATAAGTATCAAACTGAAATCTTTAATACTGGTTTAAAAAATAATAATTTTTTTTTATCATCTATAGAAGTCCAATACACTCTTTAACGTGGCAAAAAGAAAGTAATTTTTTTTATTTTTAAAAATAGTTTTAAAATTATATTATTTAGATAAAACAAAGCCTCTTATTTATAATATAAATAATTGATTAGTTTTGTAAAACTTTTGTTTTAAAATTAATTAATAAATTGGATTGAAAAGTAAACTTATAATAAAAGTTAAAGGAGTGAGTCTAAAAAATTTTACACTCAATTTAAACTTTTTATTTAATTTATATTTAACATATTATAATTTTTTATTTTACTACTATTAGATGTACGTTAAATAAAAGACTTAGATTAAATGTAAGAAATTTTAGATATATATTAGTATGAAAAGATGTTTCATCAAAGTTAAAAAATGTTTAATTGACTTATTTATGAAATAATTTATATCTAAAAATTTATATTAATGTTTTGATATATTTTATCCTCCATTATTATAAGGTCATTAGACACAATGACATTATTAATAATAATAACAATTTGTTTACTAAAAATGTTAAAATAATAAAAATAAAATTTTATATATAAAATAAAATGCAAATACTTAAAGTATAAAAACTAATTTGTTTACGGGAACAAATATATATTTTAAGCTATGTTAAATTTATAACTAACCGGCTGATTAATCTAGATGACATTTCTTTAAAAATCTTTCTGTGTTATGAAAAAAAAAAAAAAACGACACCGATAAAATTAATATAAAATGGTTCTATTTATATAAAGGCAAAAGCATAATTAGAATGATGGTTTTCCTTTCGAGAACTCAAAAATAGGATGGCGACGTACGAGGAGTGATATAACAACATATTTTTTTAACATGGTTTTGACATGATTTTTATGATTAGTTTTTAGTTTTCAAATTTTTAAAATATTTATTTCATAAATTAATTTTTCAAAAACTATTTTAATATTTTAAAAAAATTAAACAATTGCACAAGTTTATTTTTAATATTTCTAGTGGAAGGAAGTCATAATTTATTTTTATTGATTTTATTTATTTAAATAAAAGAAAATACAATTTTACTTTATTTTCTTGTCTTATTTTCTTTTGGTCCTCTTATATAGGATGGAAACTTTCTCTGTCAACACTTGTTTCCCCTAGCTACGTACTTTCATTGGCAGGCTATTCAGAAGATAGAAGTTATAAATTATTCATCCAATGGTTTTCTGCAACGTTTTCTATAATATTATTTTTTATATTTCATATCAGTTATTTTATTTTTTGAGTTTTCTTTTGATCATTCTTTGTTATAAAAAGTATACAAATAAAATTCTCAGAAAATAAAGTATACTTTTTAAGTTGCGTTATGAAAAATAGAAAATTTTATATACTTAAAAAAGAGTCATCTTTCTAAAAGAATAAATTAAGAGAAACATGAAATGAAAAGAAAGGTGTTTCCATTGGCCCGTAAAAATAAAAAGTGAAAAGGGTGGATAATTTACCCAGTGAAAAGGTGCAAAAGACAGTGCATGGTCTAAGAATTTGAGAGTCTAACTTGAGAGAGAAAGATAACTTGGATGGTAATATCGTAGGGTCAGTAATTCACTAACCAAACTTCACCCGAACGAGGAAATTAAAAACTATGACGTTGAAAATTGTCATCAACTATCAAATCCGTCGATATCTCTTAGCGTTTGCATCTCGTGTTCTAAATTTAAAGGTTGTAGAGTTTCTAGAAGCACAAGAGATAGGGCACAATCGGCATTGAAATTATGTGGAAAATTTGTAGGATCTTCTTCCTTTTTGGTTGGTGAACAAATGACCACCAAAGCAACAAAGATGATAAGAAGAACGCCGTGAGGACCGATGCAGCATGCAGGTTGACCAGCGAGCATGCTATAGCAACTTTTAATTTTATTTTCTTTATGTCATTAGCAAATATAATATGATCGTATTAAAAGTAAAAATAACCAATTTTTACTAAACAATAACTTATCATGATTGATTGTGAAGTCTATTAATTAACTTTAATAAAAATTATATTTTTTGAATTATAACATGATCATATTATATTAATCAATATGATAAGAACTAAGAAGATCTAAATCCCAATGTACCCCTTCAGTTCAGAGTTTCAAAGTTCAAACACCACAAACATTAATAACCAAAAATTTGGAAAGAGAAGAGCGACAAGTAATTCTAATTAAAAACAGAAAACAAAGCTTCACCTTATAATATAATTAGCCCCTCTGCCACCACAAATTGAAAATCCTTAAGTCATAACTCAGAAGTCTCAAAGATTTTTGTTGTATCAGAATAACCTTATTTTTTTATTGAAGAAAAGGAAGAATCGTAATTTAACGTATTAATGCGGTACAGTGGATGGTGTCACATCAGGGGCGTCATTTGATCGACCTTAGGATTCTCCAAGTCCTCCAGGTTGGTATGGCCACGTGTTAGTGCTTTACAGACTTGAATGAGCACCATCACAGCCATGTTACCATGATGTATAGCTAGGAATTTGGCACGCAACAAATCTGTTATCACCCATTTCACATCATTGATTTGGTATGAGAAGAACCTGAGTTTGGTACCGTTTTCTGAGGAGGCAAAGTGCTGGTTACTGTGTTGTTGATAGCACCAAAAAAGGTTTCCCCGGCTATTTTGTGAAGGTTGAATTAGTAAATATCAAATAAAAGGGATAAAGATGAAAGTCGTTTCTTGTCTAATTGAAAAAATAAATCATCTACTCAATAGGTTTTGATTTGTGTCAAATAAATCATACCCATTTATAATATGAATAATTTTGAGTTAAAATACGTATAAATTCATGGCTTAGTCAATCTTCTAGTAAACTAATGTCTTCATAATTGATTGTAACACAGTTAGCAATACAACTACAACAATATCTAATTAATCATATGTAATTGAAAAGTTAAACTGTTTAAAACTTGTTATAAATATTAAATAATATATGATAAATTTGTTGCTATATGATATTGATTAGTAGTTCACATCATTATATATAATGATGAAAACTCAAATTGAAATGTTAATTCATTTTTATATAAAAAAAAGATTTCGAGTTTTAAATATATTACACACTATATATTTTACCTATACTTTTATTTCACCTGGAGTCTTCTATAACTTAAGTAGTAAAGAGTTTTTTTTTTTTTATAAAAACATCATATCATCAGCTAAATACATCAATTGAAACATTATTTGTCTCCCTCAATGGCAAGGAATTCAATACACATGAATTTATATTTATTTTAATGTTATTAATTGTAATTTTTGTATTGAATTTATGTTTATAAGTTTTTTAACACGTTTCTAAATATACGCTTTATTTGTCATTAAAAATTGATTACCAATCACATAATTTCTAATCAAATGGACTCTTAATTGTTAATTTTTTTAAAAAAGTATAAAGATTATTGAAGCAAACTTTTGTAATATTTTATTGGTAAATTTCTGTATATATATATTCTTTTACTCAGTGAAGACGGAATTTGATTTGGACCCATTTGAGAAGTTACAACAAAAAACGAAAGGCATGGCGACACTTTTTCTTCTAATGCATGATTGTTTATGTCCAAAGGAAACTTTTAACATACAAAACGAAATTACGGAGTCAACGAAGCGATTATGGTGCCAATTAAAATAATTAAGACCGAGAACTTTGTTACATTAGGAGAGAGCTAAAACTAGCTCTATTAGTATCCTGTTTTCGGATTAGTGCATGTTTTCATTGACCATCAATCAACTTTCGAAACATAAAATAGAGACGCAATCTAAAAAGATGCGATAGGAAAAATGAAAAGACGATAATGAAAAGAAAAAGTAAAAAAAGTCCAAAGATGGTTCAGCGGAGAACTACAAGTAAGGACAGAAGTTAATTAACTCTTGTTTATAATAACACTTAAGCATTATTATAATTTTTGAATTTTTATCTTTCTCTTTTCATTATAATACATTATTTATCACGTTTATTATTTTTCTTCGTTTTTTTTCTCTTTATCTCTAAATATAAACAATGGAAATGTCTATTAAATATTTTTTTAATTAAATAATTGAAGGGTAAAGACAAAGGCCTGCGATGTCGAGTTGGGCCACCAGCATAAAATATACATAATGTTTTAATTTCCAAGCATGATTTGACCTACAAGTTTGAAAAATCAATCATTCCTTGACTATCTTATTCCTCAGTAGTCAGTAGTACAGCTGAAGCCAACTTCTCTCCAGGCCTTTTTATCTTTTATCACTAACTTAATAGATTAAATAAATAAAAAAATAAAGCAGTACAGAAGAAACCAAAGAGAAAGAAAATTAATGAGTCTAAACCAATGTATATCTACAGAGAATTTTCGCTTCAGTGTGATGTATTAGGATTCAAGCATGCATGTGGAGTATTGATGTGATAAATCATGCTAAAACCTAGCACTAGTTTATTTTCACTGTAAATAAATCAATCGTTCATACAACTTTCGGGTTTCATTATGTTTGAAAAATAAACATGACAATGATGACGTAGAAGTCAGCTAATTGGATGAACATAAGCACATAATTCAACTTAATTAAATTGGGTATTCGTATTCCACATTGATGGAGAGAACGTTATGATGAAGCTGGTTTAATTGTCATGAAGTGGCTGCGGATTTCGAATATTGCAGAAGAAGTTGCTCCCTGAAATTGACAAGGGAAAATTATTGAACTTGTGGGGAGTGAAAATGAAGGGTTCAAGAGTCGGACAACTTGACTTTTCATGGAATTGGGATGGGTGCATTGAACAGTGAGGTATGCTATTTATTTTGAAAAATGTTACAGATCAATATCTCAATGTATATATTCAAAGAAAAAAGTTATAAATGTAGTAAATAATATAATATAATAAAAAAGTTGTAATAGGGGAAAATAATGCATGTTATATTAATTTATTTTACTTGGATTTTTTATATATATAATCATTAACATGTGTCGCCTTTCTTTGTGCTAAACAATTTTTGTTTCCTGTAAATGAGTTCCGGCAAGTTAGCTTCGTGTAATAATATTACTTGAATAGCTTAGTTTGGACCCTTTTTTTCTTAAAAAATATGCTAAACATAATTTTACAATAATTCTAACAAAAATTAATAAGCGAAAAGAATCATATATATACTCATTTTTTATTTTATTTTATATACATCTTCACGTTTACAAATTTAAATCATATACAAATTAATAGTAAATGTTAGCAGTGAAATACCACGTCAAAGTACTCAGAAAAATATCAACACATTAGCGAAAAAGACTAGTTAATATTTAAAAGAGAGACAATTTTTAAGTAACATATTATTTTTCAATCAGAGAACACAAAAGAAAACCAACAGAAAAAGGCAACATAAGGTAATTTCAATATTTTCATAATATTCCCCTGTTTCAGCCTATTTCGCGATTCAACTCACAACGAGGTTTTATTTCTTTCCAAGCTTATAAAACGCAACACTACTTTTTATTCCTACAAATAAACGAAAATTTTACTTTGACAAGCGGCTTCTAGTTTGAATTTAAATTATATTTTGGAAAAAATACAGAACCCCTCTCCCCCTCCCAAAAAACAATTGATTTTTAAAACTTAAAACATAAAATGTGTTAAACAATATAAAAGGTACATTTCTTAAAACTTTGTTCAAGAATTTTAATGAAAGAAGGAAGGAAAAAATATGAAGGACAAAAGAGAAGAGTTAATACAAAACCCTACATTTAGTAAAATTTCAAAATATGAAATTATAAAAGTTTTGAAGAGTTTATAAATTCTTTTCTACTCACCTAAAAACTTCTAAATAAAAATAACTATCGCATAAGTTTCTTCTTCCTTTTAAAAATTTACCTCTCAAATAATGCCTAAATAAATCCAAGATAAAGTGGAATGTTCACACTTCAATAAACTAGATCGACCAACCAAAATTAAGGGAATGGATTGAAAAAATATATTACTTGTACTTTTAAACTAGATTAAGGGAAAATTGAATATACAAGTAAAATGAAAAAAATAGTATAATAGAGATTAATTATTAAAAAAAAACTTACTATTTTTTATGCAGTAAATTAAGATTAATTTTTAGTCCACAATTTGATAATAATTTTTGAGTTATAATATTTTCATAATAAACAGTCACAATAATAAATATTTTTTATCTTTCTTTATCACATCACTCATCTTATCAACCTCTCCTCTTTTTATTTTTAAATTTATATAAAAAAAAATAAACAAGTTTATTTTACACTAATATTTTAAATTTTCATCAACTTATCTACTAATTTTACCAAATATGCGCAATAATATGATTTCGGATGATTAACCACAGTATTTCAGTTATTTTTACTATACTATAGCATTGAGAATATTAAGGAGGTAAATTTTGTTTTGAGAAAATATTTATTTTTTAAGATTTATTTAATTAATTACATTGATCAAATAAACAATTCCAAACAGGCTCTTAGTCTATTTCAACGATCCATCCCTTCTTATCTTCAATAATACCCGTTTGAATTCCCGAAATAGTACTGTACAGCTCTTCACTAATGGTTCCAGAACCTGTTTTATATTCCATCCTGCATATATACAACGTAATGTTTCAGGAAAATTTGGACGCATGTGACGCATTTATACGTGTTCTAAAAATTGCAAAAAAACACGTATAATTATTAATAAAGTCTGATAATATATATAGAGAGAGTTTTGTAGAGAAGAATTCGTAGTGCTCACTTATCTAAATTTTGTGTGTAAAATACATTCTTACAGGTCTATATACTTCCGCTGTTGTTATTTGTTATGTGTGTATTACCATTGTTTTACCTTTTATGCTGGTATGTGATACTCCCCACGGGAGCAACACCAACCGCAGTTCCTGTGCAGAAAACTTCATCAGCCTCAATCAGTTCATCCACGGCTACAGCACGCTCCTCAACCTGAATCAATTTGGTCAATATATTAACAAGCATATCTGAAACAGAAAAATAATACACAAAATTTTTAAAGATGATAAAATCTACGATGTGATTGGTTTCTTATTGTTCTCTTCTAAAAGGTCTTTTTATCATGAAAAGAAAGTATAAATAATCTTAGCTGCTAAAATGATAAGAACTAAGTAACACAAATCATTCTCAAGAGTAATTTTAAAAGAATTGCTACAGAATCTGAACGATCCGTACAACAAAATAACCGATTAGGTGGGGCAGGTATCACTTGGTGAAATCCACCGTTAATTACTACGTGTATTCCATTGTCTGAGTGTTAGATATGTGAGTAAAAAAGAGTGTATTTAACTTCAATTTAATTTAAAGTGCACCAGAATTTAAAAAAGGATAAAAAAAAAAATCGTACTTATTTTAAAAATAAACTTAAGTTATAAGAAAATGCTACCCTGATCTTTATAGCATTGCTTTGTTTGAATTACACTCACTTTCTTTTAAAAATATTGAATAATCTCTTTTATTATGCGTCGTCAATAGCACTGCCTTGTACTTGCTTTCTAAAAACTTCAAAAATAGAAGTTTGTCGTATAAAAATTTGAACTAACAACAACTGTTATCGCTTTAGCAAACTTAATAAAGGATTATTCAAATTGATATCTCGTAGGGTGATCGGGAATTCAAAAAGTGAAAAATCAAGAAACAATTAAATGCAAATTAATGAATATTAGATCCCATTATCATGTAGAAGCCACAAATATGTAACACTACTACCTGGTAGCCAAGATCACGAGCAATTTCAATTAAGCTTTTTCTGGTAATTCCGGAAAGAATAGTTCCATTGGTAGCAGGTGTTGAGATGCATTTGCCCTGAGAAATTAGAGTAAGTTAGATTTGCCAGTTGTAAGCGTATATAGCGGTGGCAATTTGTTGTGCAGAGTGATTTCACCAAATCGTTTAAAACATTCATAATTGGGCAAGTAACAATTCAACCCAACCTTTCTGAAAACCAATTCTTTTTTAAAGTACAATCTTATGTTTTTTATCTTCAGTTATTTGATAATATGATCTATTAAATATAGAGAACGGCTCTCCTTCATTTCATCCCCTGTTTACATGCATACTACTTTTGAAAAAAAATTCGATCGCCATTCACATCCTTTGTTTTCTGTATGTCTTTCTTCTACCACTTTTGTGTAGATGCCACCTTAAATGGTAACGTCTAGTTCCGAAAGACATGTCATGTATGATGTTTCCCCATGCTAGCTTACAAACACTAGTTTTAACTCGGTGTGTCTTCTAACTTGCTTGAAAAAAAAAATGATCTATCTTTATAATTAAAGAGAGAGAGAAAAATAATGCGAAGAATACCTTGGCAATAAAGATGTTACAAGAAGAGACCTCCTCCAGATTTTTCTTGGTGAGGGAATCAAGGTATAGCACATCCGAAAATCCTCTTTTCTTGGCTTTAATTTGTGCCATCAAGACCTACATGTCAAGATATATTTAAGTAGTGAAATTGAGTGCTCCAATATGCATAGGATCTGAACCCCATCAAAGTCATTTTTGTATCTGTGAAATATGATGTAAATTGCTCGGCCTTGAACCCCTCTTTATATTTTTTATTTCAAATTGTTAGATTAATGTTTGTTCCAAGCCTAAAGAAAATAATAATTGATTTTGACTTGATTTGAGTGTAATACGTACCGGGGCATAATTGGAAATGGTTTTAACGCTTCCAGTACCGCGGCGAGAAGCACGGTCAAAGTTTTCCTCCACATACAAGTTGAGGGGAGCCGAACCTTCCTGCGGTGGCAATAAACCACTCAAAATCGAATTCTTGAAGTAATTTAATGTTGGATATATGGCAAACCAGCTACAACAATAACTAGCAAAAGAAAGAGAACATTCAATAAAAAAAAAAAAGTTAGTGTGACCTTGAAATAGTTGCGCACAGGGGAAGCATATATGAGGAAGGTGCATTCAGGTGCAGGAGCCAAACCCAAAACTGGACCAGTCCCAATGAGCAAAGGCCTAAGGTACAACGATCCTTTGCCCGGTGGAGGAACCTGCTAAGTGTTTAAAGTAATAAGTCCAATTATACGTTGTTGAACGAGAGAGTTCAAATCTAGCATACTCATGCAAAGTTTGTCATTTGTCTTAATTAGAATTGAAACTGAAGAGGAATAGTCGTACCCATCGCTTGTTTGCCAAGACAGTTTGCTTCAAAGCATCAACAAATTGGTCAATGGAAGGGGATGTCATGCACATTCTTTCCGCACCAATCTTCATGCGGATGCCATTTTCTTCTGGACGGAACAGCAGTATCTGCCCATTTTCTTTTCTGTATGCTTTCGTGCCTTCGAATAATCCCTGTTTTACATTTCAAATATGGTCCTCACGCATGTTCTCTTTGTTTTATTAACAAATAATCACTGCATGTACCAATTACTCTTTATTTTATTCCAGTTTTTTTCATGCACTCTCGGTCATTAAGTTAGGACTGAGATTCTATTAATTAAATTGATAAAAAATAATAATATATTTTTTCTCCATATCATGTTACTCAATAATTTTAGAATATTCAGATTCAAACGCCAAGTAAATAGGGGGACTAAACAATATGCCTGTTATTGCAATAAACTAAATAAGTGGATGTAAATTTAAATATGTTTATATTAATTTAATCAAGATACAGTTGTTTAACCTTATTTTTACATTAAATATTTAGACAACCCCTTATTTAAGTTGAAACATGATATTGACCTGCACTTGCTTCGATTTTTTTGGGCACTTGCATTTTCAGAAAGAAAACTTTCTATTTTATCACCTAATTTGTAATATTTGCATGGATTCCTAATTAAGATAACCAACTAACTATGTGGGCTCGGCTAAGGTCTCTTTCTTTCTTTTTAATTTTTTGGAACGATTCATTGCAATGAGCCAATGAGGCTATAGTTAAAGTCCTTTCGGAGTGTATTAATTAACTTGATGTCTCAGAAACAGTTTCTTAGAAAAAGAACAAATGAGAGTTTGGTATCACACCTGACCATAGTTTAGGACTCCAGCTGATGGACTAAGTTCAATGTTACAATAACGACTGAGTTGTCCTTCTCCAAAAGTTTGGCCCATTCTACATTTTGTAATGTACATGTAATCAGTAGGCATGAGTCCAAAACCAAGATTATCCCAGTCCACGTCAGCATACTCGTCATCACTATTAGAACAAAGAGTCATTTAAATATTTAGTACACATTAATCCCCCAAAATGAACCTTTAAAATAGTATATATACAACCATTAAATATATATAATATTGTTTGTAAGTGAAATAATAATTTTACCTGTAAGTTGGGTTGGGGACGTGAAGAGGGGAGGACTGAGATGCATAGCAATTGTAAGCTCCGATCTGCTGCAATATAATTTTGGGTTGGAATCGCAGATTTAAATTAGTTTTTCCATCAGCTCCACAATAATACCATACCTCAACCCCCTCTTTAATTGTTTTTTGTTTTTATTTCGGGTGTGAGGGAATGAATGTCCATTCATTTTTCCACTTTTAAGTCTCTAGCGAAATTAATATTTTAAAAAAATTAAATAGGCATTTGGTTGTTAGGTTGGAAATTTGAACTAGGTCCAAACAAATGCTTAAACATATTAAACTTTTAATTATGTACAGAAGAAAAAAACATTTTCATTTATTTAAAAATATTAATCAATACCCTTAAGGTGCTAATTAAAGAATTAAATTTATTTTAAAATAAATAAATATTAATGTACTTTTCTTAATTTTTAATAAAAAATATTATTTATTAGCTAATATTCTTAAAACACTAGTTAACAAGACCTTACACTTACTAATTTACATTAAATGACCTTATCCTAAATTATATATTTTGGTTCTTTAAAAATGTGATATCACAATAATTTTGAATTTTGTAAAGTGTATCAAATTAATTAACAAGTTTCTCATGTTTTACATAAATTTTATAAAAGAATATACATTAAAATTAAGGAAGTTTCATTTTTCTTGTAACGAAAACATAAAATTAAAATATAAAAATTAAAGATTAAATATCATAAAAATTAGTTTATTTAATCAAAATAGATTTAATAATGATTTATACATATTTTATTATACTTGATGCCAATCAAAGAAGTTCAGTTGCAAACTAAAATAAGTAAATAAAATAAAAATCTCATTTGATTGAATAATCAATTAAAGATAAAAAAAATACTAAAATGCAATCACTTGAAATGATAAATAAGACATGACATATATTTTCCTTAATTTATATTTGTACACATTAAAATAACAGATTAGATACATTTTATTATTATATTATGTTTATTTTAAATTCAAAATTTTTATAGGATAAAATATATATTAAAAAATAAAATAATAATTTAAAATCATCTTAATCTAGTGGTTTAAAAAATATTATAATTTAAATAAAATAAAATAAAAGTTATTTTATCACATTTTCTTATTTTATTTACCAAATTAATAGTATTATAAGGGTTATATATTTTTTAAGCTCATTTGACATAATCGGATAAAAAATAAAATATAAAAATTAAATGAGAACAAATATGATAAATGTAAGATAAAATTTTATTTTATTTTTTATATTTAATACAGACTAAAATAACAAACTAAATACATAATTTTATTATATCTTATCAGATTTTAATTTAGTTTTTCCCAAAATAAAATTTACATAAAAAATAAAAATAAAATAAAACTATATGATAAAGTTATCATATATTATTAGTTTAACAAATATTAAAATGAAAATTAAATAAAAATATGTCTTTTTTTATTACAAGCCTTATTTGTTTGGTAAAGAAAAAAAAGAGAAAACTTGTTTTATTTGCCAACTATATGTTTATGTATTGTAATAATATTAATTTTTTAATATTAAATTTTATATTTTTTAAAAAATAAATTAAGCTTTAAATGATTAAACTAATACGTGATACTAGTTAATATAAAAACTTAAGAGAACAAATTTTAATAACGTTATGATTGGGTAGACACATACGTCTGTTTTATTATAATTGTTTAATGTTTAATAAAAAGATTTATGACTAACAAGTGAGTTTTGTTAAATAAAAAATAAAAAATAAACGTGGCAGAAACGTTTAAAAACACTAAACAATAAGGCAAGAAAGAAAACACTAGAAACAGCATCCCACACGGATGAGGACGAGGGAGGTGGAAACATCATCAACGATTGAGGGATCCTACCAAAATTAAAAACATTATCTGCACTCTGTTTTGTGATAATGATAAATTTCTTTTTATAACAATAATAGTAAATTTGTCATTTAATATTATATTATTTGAAAATCGATTACTTAAATTATACGATATATATAGCCACACACATAACTAAAAGTCCAATTTTAACATAATTAATTATTAACTTTTAAAAAACTATAATATTTCCAATATAAGGTAAAAGACAATATTGAAAGGAGAGTTCAAAAAGATGATGAGGTTCTTTTGGGGCACTTGAGGATGCATAGTTGTTATCTATCCACATCATACCGAATTCGAACCCCAGCGTCCATACCGCTCTATTATTTTATAAAAAATGTATTTTAAAGTGAGCTTCTTTTTGTTTATAATTTAGACTGCAATTAATTCACCCCCTAACATGACTAATTCTATTTAGTCCCTAGGAGAAAATTCAATTGTAGTTTTTAAATTATTTTTTGACTATAATTAAAATAATGTTTTAATAAATTAATAGATATATTTTTTCTAAATCATACCCATTTTCTAATGGAGACAATTTTATTCCATTAGCCAATTAAAATTACTATAATTTTAAATATAATTTTATATTATTGTAATTAAAAATATTCTAAAAATTATACCTAACTTTATTTTAGCCTGTGATTTAATGCATAAACAAATGTTTATATAATTTATATTTATTATTTTAATCATAAAAAATTAATTATCATTATTTGGTTTTTAATTATTATAATTTTAATCTTATACTTTAATATTTTTAAGTTAACATGATCTTTCTAAAATTATTTTATCTTATGCATTAATTTTTTATTACTTTTTATCAGTATTTTTATAATAAAAGTAATATAAATAAAAAATTAATTTAAATATATCAAAAATATCAAAAAATTATCATATTAACATTAATTGTTAAATCTTGTTATAATTATTAAAAATTATATTTATAACATATTATAACTAACTAATAATATAAAAATTTTATGTGGGTAGTACATGAAAATTAAAGTTTATAAATTATAATATACACACGTTTATCTTTATCAGTTTAATTAAAATGAGGCACCTTAATTCCTTCAATTAAAAAGGTATCACAGAATTTATCATCCTTGAATCACTGTTAACATGATTTTAAAACAATTTTTTAATTTATAAAATAGATTTTGTAATTTATATAAAATTGCATATGATAAAAAAAAATTAGAATGATAAATATTGAAAGGTTTTAATGATATTTTTAAAAGGCATTTTAAATATTTTTCATGAAGTGTTTATTACGTTTTTTTTTTAATTTGCCATTAGCCATTAGCCCCTAACAAATGAAGTTGACAGAAACATAAATTATATTTAAGAAGTGTGAATATCGATGTTGAGATCAGGTACAATACTATTAAATAAGGGTTGATTTATTATGCTGTGATAATTTTTAAAAAGTTAATAAAATAAAATAACTTTAGTTATTTTGTTTGTCTGTGTAATTTAATTGAAAGTATTTTATAAAAAATAATATTTAACATTATCAATATATTAAATTATATTAAATATTGTGAATTTTAATATTTAAATTATTATATATCTTTTTATCATCTCTAATATCACATAGATTTTAAAAATTATAAAATATATCAAAAAAATTTACCTAATCGGTCTTTAAATAATATTTAAAAATCCTTAAATAACTAAACCAACAACACTAATCACTATTAAGAAAAAATAAACATAAAGATGAAACAGACAAGGAACTGAGGAAACAAAGATAAGGTATAAGGACAGGAAAACCTTAAAAAAAGAGAGAGAGAATTGTATTAGGAATATAACAAAGCACAGCCTCAGATTGTGGATGAAAAAGAAAGCGTTAGAAAGTGAGACATTGATCACCTTAGACGAAGAAGACGCACAAGCAGCTCGAAGAAGCAAATTCCTTAAACTGGGAAAGCACAGAGTCCTTCGAATCATTGTGCTCGCTACTTCAGTGTGAGGGAAGCCCAATCCAATCGTTTAAAACGCACCAAGCACTGGGAATTCCAATTAGTGGTTGTGATGGTGGTGGGTATGGAAATACAATGAAGACGAAAGCACAGACGTAAAATAATGGAGAGACAAGGACATGCAAGATAAGCAGAATAAGGAGTAACGCCAGCTCTGCATTGAGGAGCCATTTATACAATCGGGAGAGTGCTGTTTGATTTTTTTGGAACACTGCACATGGAAAACATTTATGCATTCAATTTTATATTACATTCATATTAAAGAATGGGAACCACTTTGTTACTTCTCCAAAAACGGGGAGGATATTATTATTATTATTATTATTAACTTATTTTGATATAATAATATAAAATATATTTATATATTATAATCAGACATCGGTTAAGAAAAGTGAATTAATGGTTGCTGAGTAGTTATTTTGTAAAGATAAGGATCATCTGATGAAAAAGTTACTCCAAATTGTTAGGGGTAAAACCATGAACATGGCCACACTGATTGGCTGGCTGGACATATCCAAAATGTTGCATTACCTATATCCACGTCAATCCATATCCTCTTTTAAGCGTTAGTGGAAATTCATCAATGGATCGTCGTTCAAGTTTGAAATGCGCTTCTTAAATTTATAATAAATTTTATTTATTAACTTTAGTATTTAAAAGTTGAATTTAAATATCAAAAAATAAAAAATTATTAATATATATATATATATATATTGTATTAAAATTATAAAAGTATAATAAATATTTTTTTAATAAAATCTGACTATTATTAATTACTTATCAATTTTTAATGCATATTTAAGGACATAATTTAAGAAACATTAAATACATATTATTAAATAATTCAGATCCAAAACTTAGTATAAGCTGGTGAAAAATTAAGATTAAAATTTTTAATATAAATTTCGACACTATGAAATAGCACACATCAAAATGCAGTATGTGTCAAATTTTAATTTGTATAATAAAAATAATAAATAAATATTTTTAAAATTATATCACTGTAGTACCAACAAAACTAACATTATCATGTCATGATTATTTTGAATAATGTGTCATGGATTCTAAATCACTAAATGCTAATAAAAAATTATGTTTTTTTTAATAGTTTATTTTGATTTAAACATGTATTTAGGATGTTTCTAGTGAAAAAAAAAAATTAATATGTAACTATTTTGCAGACCGTAAAATTTCTTAGCACAAAACTTGCATCGTGATAAAAATAACAAGTTAAAGTTTGTTACAATGTCTTAGTTTTAACTTTAAATAAATGGTAATTATAATATATAATATTTTATAATGTTAGTATTAGAAGTTTATATTTTATTTATGTTATTGGTACTTATTATCGCTTTACACTATATTTAATATTTTATATTAGTTCATAACAAAATGTGAAAATCACATTTTCGTTTTTATTGTTGTCAATATAATATGTTAGTTAACAAATTAAAATTATGAATAATGAAAATAAATATAAGATTTAGGTATCTTTGAATTATAAAAATGTAGATTAAAATTAGGATGCGGATCAGTTCATTTAATGCAGGAACTGAGTATGGATAATCTTTTAAAAATAATATCATTCGTTATCACCTTAAATGTATTTGGGATGATGTAACGTACAAAAATACTGTTCTAAAAATTTATATTATATATCTAACAGTGTTATTTAATTTGAATACTATGAAGATGTGGAGTGCAACAATCTCCTCTTTTGAACAAATTACATTGCATCAATCCAGTCTGAAAGAAGGGAGAAGAAAGAATAAATCCAAACGAACAAATCCACGTAACACTCCTTTCTTTATCTTTTAGGAGTCATCGTACGTACGTGACAATCCTTTCTAAATGATAAAAAAAATAACATTAATAATAAGATAAAGAGAAACAAAATTAGAAATCTATAACGTCAGAGCATATAAATTTTGACCAAAACTAAATAATTATCTGTTTAAGGATAAGGCGATAATAATAAAAAAAATCATTAAAAGATTGGTCAAATATTTTTGTTGACGTCGGGATTGGTCAAATAATACCTTATAAATTTTTAGATAAGAAGATTTATAGTTTAAAAATAAAGTTAATATTGTAAAAAGAATTATAAAACATTGTATGATATAAAAGTTGTGAATTATTAAGGTGACGCTAAAGGTGTAATCAAGGTTTTAGAAGATATTATATTAATATTTGATCACGTGTGAAAGAGATTTTAGAATGAAAGAAAGAATGATAAAAAAATTTGAGTATTTAGTGAAGTTGAAAGATGACAGTATCATTACCACCAACGTTATAAATGTGGGCAGACACAAACACGAAAGGAAGAGACTATATTCGAGTACATAGAGGTGAAAGAAACCTAAAATGAAGAGAATAAAAGGAAGAATGATGAAAATTTTGAGTACTTAATGTAGTTGAAAGATGGCAGTATTACTACACCAATGTCATAAACTTGGGTAGAGAACACGAGAAGTAAATATCATCACCACCAATGTCATCAATGTGGGGAGGCCACACTGTAAGAAGTAAGTATCACCATCACTAACGTCATAGATGTGAGTAGAGATCAGCAGAAGTGAGTGTCAACTGTACAAGCAATGCTAGAGAATTAACTGCCAAAATTAGAGAATCATGAGTGGTAAGATAGAAAAACGACATTACTTTGAGATGAAGAGGAAAGAAACAAAGTCATTTTAACTTATTATGTATTACTTAACAATAAAAATTAATATTATTATGATAAAACTAATAATAAAACTAAAATTGTCTAAAACTAATGAGTTTATGCATAAATCTCAAAAGAGCCATTTACCAACGCTCACAATTTCAGGCTGCTGGAGTTTACTCAATTTTGAATTCCAATATCGATTGTGCTTACCCACTCCTCACGTTACGTTAGCTGTTGTTTCTTAATGTGGGATTTAATTAAAGACCCCAAAAAATGCAGTATTTAATTAATAAACCCTCAAAATGTTCTTACCTAAAAAACGTGGAACATAGTCCTTTCAAGGTTTTTCAAAACACGCAAAGGTTAAAATATCCTATAGATACTTAAATTATTTGATAGGATTAAATAATTCATGATATTTTAAAAGTTTACAGGTATGTTTTTAATTATCTTTTCACTATAATTTTTTTTATAATTATTTAAAGATTAATGGTCTAATTATAATTTTAATTAATTCAAAAACTTATTAAATAAATAAACTTGCGATTTCTCTCTTGAATAATTTTTTAAAAGAATCAATCAAGTCTTTATGCTTAGTGAAATCTTGACAAAACCTTACAAAAAAATTTAAAATAATTTAAATATCCAAATACCAAATTATAAATTTTCAAAATATAAAATCTTATGTAAAAATTCTCAGATAATTTGATGACTTATAAATTAATTTAACCTTGAAAAAGGAGAGGGTCAAGTAATAACAAGAACCCAGCGGCCATTATTCATTTTTCAATCTAAAATTGAAAGTTTTCTCTCCATCCACCCATCCAAAGTTTAATTTTTTTGGATTTCTTTAATTGTAATTATTATATTTCTGGGACGGGTCAAGTTTGACCCAAGACAATGCACTGTACAAGACAGACGCCAGGTTGCAGTTTCAAGACTGAAGCTGCTGTATATTTTTTTGGACCCAGATTGAGTCCAAATTAAAATAATTGGGCCATAATTTGTGGTCTCTTTAGTAATACTTATGGACCATCCTATCTTGTCATTCACAAAAGCTATATTTCGTTGGAGTAGGCATAACCTTTTAATTAAACAAGATGTTGATGGCTATGGACAAAAAATATAGAAAGATAGGTTGACCGAAAAAAGAAGAAGATACGAATAGTTAAATGATTATTTAATCACATACATGAAAAATGATAAAATTAATAAATAAAAAGTTATTTTTCTTAAAATATGAAATTGAAAATAAAATCATTTTAAAAAATTTATTTTATATTAATTATTATGTTTTTCATTTTTATGTCTGACCGCTAAAGGATACACTTGTATACATCAAAAGATAAAACTTCATTTCTTGTGTGTATACCTTTTTCTACTTTTGTTCTTAATTGCAATATTCAAAACTTATTATAGGTCTATCATCGTGTAAGAACAAATCTTAGTAAAAGCAATATGGTTTAAAGAGTATGAATGGGAAACAGACACCAAATTCATTTGCAGTTTTTTTTATTTTTTTTATAATACAACATTTAATATAAAACAATCTTAAAATTTGAGACTTATATCGAATTATGTAATATTTAAAAATTTTCTCTCTTTGCATAGAGACAGAAACTTTTTAAGATTGAGATCATTTACAGTTTTTTCCCAGACTAATTTCATAAAACCCATTGTCCCTATTATTATTACTACCGAAGACAAACACTGCGATTATAAAAAGTTGGCTTCTTGATATTATACTGAAAGGAGTGAAAATTGGTTGACCTATGCTATTATTGATTCAATGAAAATGGATTATGTTTTTTTTTTTTTTTTTTTTACATGTGTACCAAAAATGTTTTTTAGATCGTAAACAGAGATAATTGTTTTCTGAGTTCTAAAAATTATTTAAATAAAATTAATCTCTTTTGATCAAGTTTTATAAATAGTTAGGTAAATGAGAATTGATTCAAGTGGTATATGTTTTATTTTTTTTTAATTAGGATCTACCGAAAAGAAAAATGCAACAAATTCATTATTTAATCATAAAATTATGGCATTTAAAGCCATGTAGATAATATCCATGTACTAATTTCCCCATTTTGAAAGAAGCATCCCGAGGATATTTCTTTGGTAAAAAAAAAAAAGCTAGTGCTAATTTTTAAGAATGTTAATTAGGCTTTCTGTATATGTGTGTATATATATATATATATATATATATATATATATATATATATATATATACCCGTACAATTACTTAAGTTGTTGGTTGCATGAGTTACAAACTTTTTTTTTTCTAAGATGCAGATACGAACATGAGTACTTGAGATTTTATTGAATTCTTACTCAATCTCTACTCATTTTTTTCTTCAAAAATAATATAAAATAGACTAAAGACAAAGTGGGTGGGGCTAGCTTTTTTGTAAAGTTGGATATGATTTGCTTTTGGTAAACATATAGTGAAGTGTCTCCTGAACATTGAAGCTTATGTGTTGATTTAATTCATTTTGCAGAAATAATCTTAAAAAAATCTTAGCCAAACATG